TGTGATAGGCCTCTGGTATCTGTGCTCATCTTTCAGAGGTGACAACATGATACTTGTTGTTTGCATGTCATTTGTGAAAGCTTGTATCCTCTACAAGGATCATTCTCCCCCCTACATTGAGGCCCCAAACATTCTGGTAATCTGGCTTCTCAAGCATGTTGGTCGATTTCAGCAATTAGGGTGGTTTCTTGTAAAAAAAATTTCTACACTTTTTGAACACAAGCTTTCTTAGTCCACTACCATGATGAACCTGGATCTGATGTTAATGTGTATTCACACATTGTACCATACAGATGGTAGTATAACTAAGCAGAGTATACAACTGAAAACAAAAGCTTGCTTCCTGTACCCGGGTCTGATTTATTGTCCTGAGAAGCTGAATTTAATTATCCTGTCTTGGCGTTTGGAGAGAAGGGGGAGGTGTTCACAGAGCGACTTGTAATGCCTCCTTGTATTTGTAGCATTTCTTCTAATCTATCTCATAATTGGCAGGTCCCTAGTTTTTCTAGTTCTCAAAGTAGGTCATGTCATAGTTTTTTAATTATGTGCATATACCTGCTATTAAAGGGAGTAGGCTCGAGCATATTGGCATTACACCTTTTGTATTAAACTAATTTAAAAAAAAAATTTTTTTTTTCCAATTTACTTTTTTCTTTTGCTTTTTCTTAGCTATACCTTTTTCAGACCCCAAATCTAATGTGACCTTTTTGGTTTTGTCATGAATATAGGAGATAAGCTCAGTGAAAATGTTCTTAAAAGCACTGGCTAATAAAGGTAACTTAGTTCCGCACGTTCCAATGTTTTTGAATCTTCATGATGCACACTGTCAGTTGTGGAAGCTACTGGGTATCTGTGACTCAGCAGTATAACCCGGTAATGGAATGCCCAGTGCTTGCAGCACTTAAGATATTTGGCTGGACAGTTGTTATAATTGTACCCAACCTGCCTATAGTTTAACATTGGAAAGTGCGTGCCATTTGTAGTATTTTTAATGCTCCATCTGATTTTGTTTAAGGCAGTTAGAGCTTAACCTCCCACAGTCTACTTTTTAAGAAAAAAAATATGTAAAGGCAAAAGATTTTTTTTAGAAACATTTGGCATGGAATCGGCTTTTCACCTCTCATCATGAGGTTTAAAAACTCTGCATAAAGTTTATCTTGGAGGCAGCAGTTTTATTTATTTTATTTTATTTATTTTTAAATGGGTTTATTTGTTGTCTAATTATGTGAGTGTATTTTTTTTCTCCTCGCTAATTTTTTTTTTTTTTTTTTTTAACTCCTTTTAATGTAATGGTAATGTCAGCAAAAGTTTTATTTAAAGGGACACCTTAGTCCCTGAACCACTACAGCTTAATGTAATGCTTCTGGTGTCTGTAACATGTCCCTGCAGGCTGAGCAAAAAAAAAAGCAGTGTTTACATTGCTGCCTAGTAACACCTCTAGTGGAAGTCACTCAGATGTCTGCTAGAGGTGCTTCCTATTTCAGTGCTGCATTGTGTGCAGCACCCACGTTAAGATTCTGTATGCTCTCCATAGAGATGCATTGATTCTATGGCTTTCAATTAGGAGATTCTGTTCTCTTGAATTTTACACTCCAAACAATATGAATGCTCATCAGTATTCCATTAAAAAAACTACTTATTTTGTTAGAGTAACCCTTTTTGTGGTTATGCCTCCCCCAACTAAATAGAATAAAGCTAAAAGTTATGTCTTTATTGCCAAAGCTAAGTTCTGCCTCATCCTTCATCCTATTTGGCTGACGTTACACTCCCTCACAGAAGTGGAAGGAATCGTGGCAGTATGGTAAGATAGACTGCCACCATGGCACCCTGCCTATATCAAATTACTGAAGTGTTCATGATGCTTGAGTGACCCTGTAAGATGTATGGCCTCTTATATTGTAGCTGTAGAATATGGAGAACCTGAAGGCCATGTTTAGTGCCTGATAAATATATGGTTCCAGGTTTACATGGTGTTGGATATATCATACTTGTCTCGAAGCTACAAGGGAGAAAACTAAGACATTCAGTTTTTATTTCGCATTCTTTGCTACTTCCTTCCTTGGTACCTCAAGGCCCCACTGCTCCGGCTGAATGAAAGCTTGTGGGAATGCAAGGGAACCAGTCTTTGCAGCTGAAATATGCAGAGGCAGCCTGTTTCCCTCATTATACACATAGGAGGGAGCCAGGCTTCTGTGACCCTGCAGTGAGTAATTGTAATGTATTCTAGATACATAATTACGTGCCTGTCTACCTTATATTGGGGCACAAAATGTCAAGTCCTATCCTACTAGAGTAGACACTACTCACAGCAGCAAGCCCAGATTACTTTTTTTCCCAGTGGCTAGCTGGAGTGGAAATTTCAAGCCCTGCAAATACAATATTTCGTTTTGCTTTTTTTCCCATTATTTCTTCATTTAAATGTTATCCATGTTCTTAGTATATTTAAATATAGATATGGCTATAAGTCATGATCAATATTTTTTTTTGTTGCCATTGTTTTATAGAGTGAACTCTCTGCTTTCTAAATCCATCTGTGGATATTGTTAATGATCTACATTGTGTTCGCTCTGGGATGCACCGCCTCTTTCTATCAGAGGCACTTTACTACTTCCCCTTGTTGAGCTGCAAGCATAACCTCCGACTCTGTGTCCATGTAGTGATTTAGAATTTATTATTTATTTATATTTTTGCAGCAAAATATGGGATTCCTTGACCAGATATGACTCTATTTGTAAGGGTTTTGTAACTGATCTGCATTAGTTCCCTCCACCCCTGTAGCTAGAGCACCATAAGCACCACAGATTTTTGTAGAGTTGCATAGTTTTTGGTGCAATTTCACCATTTATTTTTTTTCTCTTGTAAATCTTTGGCTATCAAACTACCCCTACCCACTGATGTAATTTGGGGTTTGCATATCTTATCAGTTCAGCTGTGCAATTATGGTTATAGTGCAATACATCTTTTGTGTATCAGGGTTTTCTGCCAAGCCATCTTTGAGATGTTTGTCAAGAACCTGGGCTCCAACCAACAACCAGAGCTGGACTCCTGTGCTGCCTCTTGGTTAATGAGGACTTCACACTTATGAGTTATTCATCCAAAGCTGGCTGTTCTTGGATTTTATTTGACAGTTGATTGAAAGTGCTGGCCTAAGCTGCCCCCGTTCACAGGCAGATAATAGTTTAACATTTTCAATTCTTACCCGAGGTCTGCCAGGTGCTGCCATCTGCCTTCTCAAAGCTAGAATTGAGAGCCAAAAGCTCATGCTAAACTGATGCTGAGGACTGGTGAACTTTGCTTAAGAGAGTTAATGCAAGCTAGTAGTAGGAACTCCTGTCTCTCACTTCTGGTTGTGAGCAGACTTCCCCAAACTCCGGCCCTCCCGATGTTCCTGAACTACAACTCCCATGATTCTACGAAGGAAATAGGCTGAGAATAATGTGAGTTGTAGTTCAGCAACGTCTGGAGGGCCGGAGTTTGGGGTAGCCTGTCCTAGAGGAACCCTGGTAACAAGTAAAACTGTTGGCAAATGGTCTTACTGTTTAAATGGGTGAGGGGGGTAGGGCACTCCTAGAACCATAACTTCTGCAGCATTCTGGTATGGTGCTTCGAGTGTTCCTTTTAAAACTATGTTTGGCTCATAATTGTCTTTTCTATTTAAACTCATTTTCCAGCAAATACTCCTCCTGAAACTCTTATATTTATTCACAAGAGTTGCTGCAAAAATAAGATTTAAATTCTTGCCCCGCATATGACCAAAATAAGGAAAAATGCTTGTTTAATAGGTTTCCAAAATCGCAAAACATCATTCTGTATTTTTATCGGAGTCCAGTTTTCTTTTAGGTCTTGTTGGTTACTAAATTTAAAGGACCACTATAGTGCCAGGAAAACAAACTAGTTTTTCAGGCACTGTAGGGTCTTTGGGTCCCACTCACGCCGGGAGGAAGGGGTTAATCACTTACCTTTCTCTAGCGCCGGGCTCCCTCTTCCGACGTCAGCCGAATCAGTCCATAGGAAAGCATTTTTGTTGTTGTTGTTTCTCAATGCTTTCCTATGGACGTCAGCGTCTTCTCACTGTGATTTTTAGTGAGAAGCGCCTATAGCGGCTGTTAATGAGACAGCCATTAGAGGCTGGATTAACCCTAATGTAAACATAGCAGTTTCTCTGAAACTGCTATGTTTACAGCTGCAGGGTTAACCCTAGATGGATCTGGTACCCAGACCACTTAATTGAGCTGAAGTGGTCTGTGGGTGCCTATAGTGGTCCTTTAAATATAATCACATTTCCTTGTGATCCTAGTTTAAAAAAAGTGTGGTGTTATCACTGACATGTGGATATCCTATATTGTTTTATATATACTGTCATGTGAGAGTATAAACAACTAGCTGTTATAGCTTACCTACGCATTGTGTTAATTATGCTGAATATACAGATAGAATTTCTTAAACTAAATTAAGTTTTAATCTTTCGAACTGTTTTCAAAAAACACTAACACTATGATTAAACATAATAATTCAAATGATTTCTAAAATATGGCTAGTTTTAGTTGTAGAACACACAGACCATAATATGACTTTATTGCGTCCAATGTTGTGTAAATTGCTGATGCTATCTAAATGGTTATAAAATGACCAGTGTTAACTGAACCTGCCAACATTGAGTTCTCACTAGTGCCTATCAATAGCTGATAGTGATATGACTAATTGACACATTGTCACTCTATATGTATTATAGGAGTCCAATATTTATATGCCAGCAGCACCTGATAACACTGACTAACTACAATCTTTCCTACATATCAGGTGCCTATTTTAGTGCACTTCACGTAGAAAATATTAAATGTGGTTTTCCAAACTTACTTTAAAAAATATATATTTTTTTAAAATATATACTTGAGTCTTTTTCTTAAACGGTTTATATTTGGGATTGTTTTCAACTTGTAAAGCAACATGCTATCAATGATGTTTTGGTTCTCTTCTTTAATTCTCGTATTCTTGTTTTTAGTTGGTGCTGGACTGTCTGCGAGTCTTTACTGAGTGGAGTCTTTACTGAGTGGAAGGTTGATCCTCTATTTTCTGGACTACACTTGCGGCCTTGTATCAGAGTTTTTCAATGCAGTTTTTCCTCTCATTTTACGTGCCCTGCTGGTTTCAGCTAGTGTAAGTGTTGTCATTATGATTTCCAAAATTCTGTAATTTTTTTTTTTGTTTTTTTATCAAAGATGGTTGAGTAGTTACTACACATTACTATAGAAATTGTGTGCTTTTTATGAGACCTGTCGTTGTCTTCTGCAGACACCTGTTGAATCACTTTTCCCCATCTTATTGTGTTTTGTGCTGTTCTCCCCACAAACAAAATTTGGGAAGGTACGGCGTGCAGTAAGGCTAGGTTCGGTGTAAAACTTTAGGATTCTGTATGCTAAATAAAATCCTTGAACACAATTACAATAGAATTAACACAGTGCCATGTTAAAAGTAGACAAACATACATCGTGCTTTAGTGGCTGTTTATATTTAATTTTTCCTCTCCTTTCTACTGCATACTTCCAATGGGCACAAGTATCTTTAAAGTGATCCTATAGTGCCAGGAAAACAAACCTGTTTTCCTGACACTATAGGGTTAATCAGTCTCCCCACTTGGGGGCCCCAATCTCACAGGGCTGAATGGGTTAAAACTTACCTGAATCCAGCGCCAATGCCTTTTGGTAAATTAAATATACATCTTGTAGCCGCTTAGAAGATAGCTCCCTAATTCCCACGGTATTAAGGAGCTATCTTCTAAGCGGCTACAAGATGCATTCTAATAAAATTTCGAACTGACGAAAAAGTATGCCGAATGCCGCCTTAACATGAATGAACAAACTCTTTTCATTCTGTTAGGACGAAATTCGGTAGTTTCGCGGGTGTTCTGTCTAAATGACAGGACGTTCGGAAATAGTGAGAGGAGGCATCGCAAGATCACGCGAGATCACGGAGGAGAGGTGAGAATTGTGGGAAATTGCTCTGACCACAGGAAATGGTCAAGCGTAGGAAAAATACATAAGACAAAGTAGTCCCTTTTGTTGAAAACTAGATCAGATAGGAAGAAACAGACAACAGGTCCTGAGAGGGAGAGAAGAGGAAGCGATTTAAAGAAGGGTAAGTTCAGCATGACGGTGCCGCTTTCGAGCTGCACTGTGATGTTTTACATTGCAGCACTAAGTGCAAAAGGGTCACAGCACCCAGACTACTTCATTTAGATGAAGTGGTCTTTGTGCCTACAGTGTCCCTTTAAATATACTGTCCCTCTTTACTAGAATCTCCATGTTTCCGTAGAGCTCTGATGATACTCCCTGTAATGTGTCTTTAAAATACAATACATGGGGGCGGAGTCTGACCACTGACTGGATCAGACATGCTTTGCCTGAGCTCCCGCGTCTGTGCAGCTAAACTGAGGCTTATTCCGAACCACAACAAGGAACTGACCCAAAACAGTGACCAAACCACTCACCAGCCTATGCTGAATGCACTGATACCACTTTCGACCCGACACCGGTGTATAGCTACCCCCACCCCCCCGGTGGGGGTTATCCCGGTCCCCCCGGGCAACAACCCAGGGCTACCGAAAGGCTCCAGCACCAGCCCTGCAGCGAAGTGCAAGTGGGGTGGCCTACCACAAGATGGCCAACAACTTCCAGTCATGTGCATGCCTAAAGGGCGAGAGGACTCTGAACCAAAGTATGCCCTCACCTCAGACTGCGTCCGCACTCACCCTCTGCCTCCAAGATAAACCTGCAGGATCCACAGTGCAACCAGCGGCGCTGGCAGTATAGAGTAAGCGGGGCGAAGAAGGGCGGTCGGAGAGCAGGCCCCCCCACCCCGGGCAATCCTTATAAAGCAAGCTCCCAGCCTCACACGATGGGCCCACCTAGGCTGAAGACCACACGGGGAACAGCCCCAGAGCAACGGTAACAGCAGCAGCTGACCCAACGTCATAGAGAGCGTCACCCAATCGGGACAAGCTGCAGCCCCCCACAAGGGCAGAACTTGGCCTCCCACGAGAGAACCCTCGAGACCGGAGGATGCAGGCCTTCATGAAGGCCCAAGGCTCTGGGCGACTCCACCTGAACGCACTTTTCCACCTAAGCCTGCCACCAAGCAGAGGTGTCGGTTTACCTGGGACTTGAACCCCAGCCTGAAGTGCCAAAATTTAGCCACACCTGTCCTTATGCACCATTCCACACTTGCTATACCACACCTAACACACCTGACTGCCATCTTTTCACTGCTCAAATAGACCACAAGCAGCACACAGCAGGCATACGCTAACTACACACCCTGGCATACTTACAACCCACGGCTCTAATAAAACCCACACATGAGCACCACAAAACACTCAAACAACCACACAGTGCGCTTACCAACATGCAACTTTAAAGGACCACTCTAGGCATCCAGACCACTTCAGCTTAATGAAGTGGTCTGGGTGCCAGGTCCAGCTAGGGTTAACCCATTTTTTCATAAACATAGCTGTTTCAGAGAAACTGCTATGTTTATGAATGGGTTAAGCCTTCCCCCTAATCCACAGTGAGAGCATGCAAGCGTCCATAGGAAAGCATTATGAATGCTTTCCTATGTGACCGGCTGAATGCGCGTGCAGCCAGCCTAGGAGGAGGAACGGAGGAGGAGAGCTCCCCGCCCAGCGCTGGAAAAAGGTAAGTTTAACCCCTTTTTCCCCTTTCCAGAGCCGGGCGGCAGGGGGTCCCTGAGGGTGGGGGCACCCTCAGGGCACTATAGTGCCAGGAAAACGAGTATGTTTTCCTGGCACTATAGTGGTCCTTTAACCTGTAAACTTAAGCAACAAGATTTGCAAGTTTCGAAACCTATCTTTACGTTTAAACATGGTTAATACCCTTTCACTTAAAAAAATGTGCATATAATCTTTCATGCCACTCTGTTACAAGCAATGAAAATAAGCGTGAGGATTGCTGTTGGGGTACCCCACGTGTGTTGTACTATCTTTATGCACTGCAAAAATAAAAAAATTTAAAAAAATACAATAAATGTGTTTTAGAAGTTAATATGGGTAAATACAATACACTATTCTTGTTCTAAATTACATTTTAGTAGCATAAATTTTTATTAGTAAGTCACCTAAAATTTCTTATAGCGGCTCTGCCTCAGCCACACCCCCACTCACACTCACACGCCTAAATTGGTGTCCCTTCTTGTCCATTTGAAATGTTGGGAGATATGGTAGTGGAGTGTGGCCTAAACTATAAACTTGGTTAAATATTCTAAACCTATTAATATTTTTCTTAGGTGAAGTAATCTTACATTACGAAAATGAAAGTAGACAGGACGAAGCTGAAAAAGACGCCAACAGAGGCGGTAAGTGCAAGTGTTGACTGTTCTTATATATTTTTTGTTTGCAGTCCTGCATCTGCACAGGTAAACTTTCTTAGTACAAACATGGAAACCTGGCATTCATTCAACTGCTCTGAAGCATATTTTTTGAACAACGTTTAAAGTGTAGATGGCTGCCTCCCGTGTATTTGAAATAACGGGTGTGAAGTTTTTTTTTCCTGTCTTAAAAGGGAACCATCACTACTATGGAAATAATGTGTTAACTTTAACTTTATATTTTATATAACTTTTTTTTTTTTTTGGCTAGTTAAATAGCAAATAAAATTTTTAGTACAGTCCAGGCACCTCTATAGTACACATTGCAAATGAGAAGAAATAGCAAGACGAAAGCACACAGGGAATTGGAGAAATTAAACAAACGCATCTAGCTGCCGGGGGCAAGGGACATAGCTTATATAAGTGTAACTAAGATGGGGCACTGTTGCAACATAAAGAGGTATTGATTTTTACTTTTTAATTTGTATTTTTCTGAACATCTTAATATATTAAAATTCTGGGCAGTGACTGACAATTTTATGTTTAGCCGGTATTTTGAAAAGTTGCTTCCCTTTAGCCACGTGGAACTTCCGTGGACTTTACTTTTCTGCATTCTCTTTAACTGGTCATGGAATATTTTGCACTGCATAATACCAATACTAATCTTTACTTGCTTATTTCTAGTTTGCCAGTGTTTTTAGAAACCATTGTTTTTCTTCATTTTAGAATTGCAAAATCTAAACCTTTCTTATTCCTTTATTTTTCTTTTTTTCACAGCCTGCCGATTGCAGGTCTCTGATTGAAAAGCTGAAAGCATGCACAGATGAACAGCTTCTGTTGGAGCTACAGCAAATCAAAACCTGGAATATAGGAAAGGTAAATGAAAATATGTGACCTGCATTAATCCTGTTGACTTTGGTATTACAGTGATGGTTCATTTTATATAATCTATTCTGCGTTATTTTGTCCTGTCACATAGTTTTTTTTCAATCTGCTAATCTATTTGTAAAATTAACCTTGATACTTTTAAGTCCAAACTATGATATTAAAGGGACAAGCACCATATCCACTTCAGGTTATTGCAGTGGTGCAAGGATTCTTTGACGTCTTTCAGCCTTTTGCCAGACTCGTATGCTGTTTTAGAAGAAGAGTTAAACTTTTTATGAATTTGTTTCAATACAACAGTGATAAGCAATGGGTACAGGTGTATGTTTTCCCCAGTGTTCACACCCTGTCTTTTATTAAACTTTGGAGCATTTTGTGAGAAAGTAGAAATCCTTATGGTCTTACATGGCCATTGGGTGCTTGTATGGCACCTGGATTTGGTAAATGGCTCCATTACATTGTAATGGTTGTGTTTAGAGGCCCTTTGTACTTAAAAGGAGGGTATCTTGACATGCTTATGCAAAGTCTCTTTATCGGGGTGCCAAAAAAAGGTAGGACCCCACCTATGTTTTAAAACTACAGCTTTGTCATTCTTAAAGCATCATGGGATTTGTAGTTCTTCAACATCTGGGATCTACATTTTGGGCACCCCTGCTCTATATCATTGCAATTTTTTAAACATTTTTATACTTATTTGATGTGTATCTTAAGTTACTGCTAAGTTTTTCTCTACAGTCATCCCCACTGCTGAAAGCATAAGTATAAGACAATATGTTTTGCAACCTACATTTAACAGACTTTATAATCCTTTACAGAATCAGAATTATGGGTGTTTAAAGCTCTGGGTCAACATTATTACTTTATTTACCATCTAAAAATGTATTATCCACTACAAATTGAAATTAAATTGCAATTTTGACATATATAAAGTTATTCAACTCTAGGTTAAAGTGTGGAATAATCCACCAGAGCATTCCATTGGTTACTATGGTTTTTGCTTCACTTTTCGAACTTTGTCCCAGATTTCCTATTGCATCGTAAATCCCATTGTATGTTTACTGAGCAATGCACAATCTCTGCTATGATAGTAACTCAAGCAGGTGGTTTTATTTTATTTATTTTTTCTTTCTTCTTCCAGATTGTTCATTTTAGTGTTGTGTGCTTTTGTATAGAAATACTTAAACAGCATAAATTCTATGTAACTTTATATAAACACACACACTACTTTTCATTACTTAGATTAACTGTCACAAACCTGTACTCTATTAACCAATCTTATTCCCTACACCTGCAGTGTGAGTTGTATCACTGGGTTGATTTGCTTGATCGCTTCGATGGAATTCTGGCAGATGCCGGTCAAACAGTGGAGAACATGTCTTGGATGCTGGTCTGTGATAGACCTGAGAAACAGCAGCTTAAAGCTCTTGTGCTGGCAGTCCTCAACTTCACCGCTTTACTCATTGAGTACAGCTTCTCCCGGCATCTTTACAGCTCTATTGAGGTAAGTCTTGTTCTTTGAGCTTTTGAGGAATTTCAGAAGTTCATAACTTTTTTTTTTTTTTTTTTTTTCTCCATTTTCATTATGATCACTTTTTATTACATTAAATTATCACTCTCTGAAATTTCACAGCGTATATCCCTTATGTGGCCACATTCTGGTGTTCGATATCACATCAGTGTTTTATTTGGGGTTCTGCTAGCTGAAATGTTGATATGGCCTCTCTATAGTATTTTCATCCTGGTGTCCTCATCACTAGTTAACTTAAAAGTAAATCAACATTGATCAACCTCAACATTAAATACACTGATGGGAGAAGGGGATAACATTGATTATATTGTTAAAATGGCACTTGTCAAGGGTTGTAATATATTAGGCACTAAGTGAACAGTCAGTTTTTGAATTTCACGTGTTGAAAGCACGAAAAATGGGCAAGAGAAAAGACCTGAGTGATTATGAAAAGGGCCAAATAGTGATGACTAGATGACCAGGTCAGAGCACCTACAAAACTAGAAGCCTTGTGGGTTGTTCCTGGTATGCAGTGGTTAGTACATACCAAAAGTGCTGCAAGGAAGGATAAACGGTGAACTGGAATCGGGGTAATGGGCACCCAAGGCTCATTAATTCACGTGGGGAACGAAGACTAGCCCTCTGGTCTGATGACTCACGTTTTGTTTTAGATCAGGTGGATCCATGTTTACCAGGGGGAGAGATGCAGCAGTATATATAATATGGGAAGAAGGCAAGTTGGCGGAGGCAGGGTTTTGCTCTGGGCAATGTTCTGCTGAGATTTTGGGCCCAGGCATTCATGCAGATGTTACTTTGACACATACCTAGCTAGAGATGTTACTGACCACACGTGCACCCCTTAATTGGCAATAGTGCACTCTGACAGTTGCATCTTTCAACAGTATAATGCAATCCACGGAGGCTTGTGGGAATTAAAGGATCTGCTGCTTTTGTCTTGGTGCCAAATACCACAGGACATGTTCAGAGGTTGTCTCATCCATACCACAACGCATCAGAGCTGCTTTGGCAGCGTGAGGGGAACCTACATATTAGGGAGGTGGTTTTCATTGTTGTGGCTGCTGAGTGCAGTGTATGTTGTTGAGCTTCTCTTCCTTAGGTCTTATTTAAAACTGCTAAAAGAGTATTGGTTTGATGACCTACTCCCCTGTTTAGACAGAGGATAAAGTTAGATAAATCAAATTAATACATAGCCCACAACCCTTTGTAAAGATAGTTTTGGGTCAAAATTGCAGTGGACAGTCTTTCTTTAATATTGCTTGCTTTTGCTTATGCCAGTTGGATTTTGGGTGAATTATTCTACAAGTGCATTGGAAGAGATCATATTTCTTTGCCACCTGTTCTTTACTTTGGATTTGTATTGTACTTGGCTGTTAAATCTCCATTTGAACTCCTAATCCAGAAGTTACATTTCTTCACTAAATCCAGTGGTTTTAATAGCTTCAGAACGAATGCGTTATTTCTAGCCCTTTAAAATACTGGGGCAGGTTACGTAGACTTGGCAGTTTCAAGGTGGAATTTTTTTTTATTTTTTATTTTTGTCAATCTTTATTTTTGCAGTGCGTGAGTAACATAAACAAGCTTGTATCGCCACAACAGCATGTACAAGCTAAAACAGTAATACAGTGAATACAGTATTATGGCATGCAAGAATGGCACCATTTATTTGTTAGTAAATGCAGGTTAGGTACTTATGTCTTAAGTTATAGTCTGTACTAGTTAGGTAACAACGAGGTGAAAATAAGACATATCGGTTGATGATAAAGGAGTATTACCATGAAAAGCGTGTCTTATAGCTAGCATACTCTTAGATTAATTTTTTTCAGGCTAAACCTACATAAAGTCTGCATATTCTGCAGGGTTCGGCAAGACATATATGTAGCAGGCTTAAAAGTTGTAAACCACTAGGCTTTTGGGGCGCGTCTGCATCAAGCTAGGCAAGTTTAGAAATAGACCATTGGACAGAAAAAAGAGAAAAATCATACTTTTCTAGTATAACAAAAGCAGAATATACATTTATGGAATTGCTGGTAACGTTCAGGAGGCAACATGTTTCTGTCTGTGAGTAAGTCCCGGTGTGCACACTGTGGTACTGTCCAGGAGTGTGTTTATGCATTCATCAGGTTGGTCTAGGGGCCGCATCCAATTTTGGCCACTCCGCTTTCCCCAGGCCTTCTCAAGGGCCCTTGTGCACTTTCCACCGCTCCGGTCACTTTCAGCACCGCAAGCGAGCTCCCGGGCGGTTGTGTGATGGAAAAGTCCTGTCCGGGCATGTGGGGTACGCAGCAGGGTGTTTCTCTTTCGGGCACTCAGCCCAGGAAGGCAGATGCGAGCCTCGGATTTTATGGGCCGCCTTCTCAGCTTTACTGGTCTGTTTCCCGGGCGTCATGTGCGGTCTTTTCTTCCCGCCAGCCACTCCAGGCGGTTTTTCTGGCGGTGAATAATGTGGTCGTGTAGGGTGTACGGGCTCCGTCTGGGTCTGTGCCCCTTTGTTCTGCATTCTCTGCCAGAAGTTTGCGTGGAGGTCGTCCAGACGCTGCTCGAGTGTCTGCAATTGGTTCAGTGTGTCTGTAGCTGGTGCAGTAGCCGACATTTTGAGGCACATTGCGCTGCTCTATGTCTTTGCTTTAAGACAATGTGCTTGACAGGGATGAAGCTTGGCTGTGGTGATGGTGTCGGGAAAACCGGGAGGGGGGGGGAAGCGGGGACCCATATAACGTCAGTTTATTCCGGTCGGGGAGACAGTAGGGAGATCGGCCGCTTCTCCCAGGCTCTCACCTTGAGGTAGGCCTCAGTGGCGGTGTGGGCTTAATCTGCTTGTCTGACACCTAGAAACCCTTGTGCTGTAGCAGAGTAGCTTGCAAGTAGGTATCAGCGCAAATTTAGCCGTTTGCTTTCAAAATACTGTTTTTAGGCGATAATTGTCAACTTTTGTACAGAGCCCACACTGCATGCAGCCTTTCAGTTTGGCAGCCAGGCCCCGCCCCCAAAAGTTCAGATTGAGTAGTGTCCCTTAGGACTGAACATTGAAACTGTTGAATTTGACCAGTTGTATCTGCCAAGTTCAGTGAAAAATGCACTGTTTACAGTTTTTATTTTATTTAACCAATTGTTCCACAGCGTGAAGTTACAGACCGCAGAGTCTAATAAACAATGCAAGATTAATGGTGGCTTTTTTGTGTGCCCTTTTAGCATCTGACAACATTACTTGCCTCCTCTGACATGCAAGTGGTACTTGCTGTGCTAAATCTCCTATATGTATTCAGCAAGAGATCCAATTACATTACACGATTGGCTTCAGACAAAAGAACGCCGCTCTTGTCACGACTCCAGCACCTAGCAGAGGTACAGTCCATACTTCTAACAAAATGCATAAAGCTTTGACTGTTTAAAAAATGTATGCAAGCTGTTGTTAATTACCACTGACAACTATTTACTTCTATTTCAGAGCTGGGGAGGTAAAGAAAATGGCTTTGGTCTTGCAGAGTGTTGTAAAGATATGCAAATGTCGGTATGTAATATATTTTATTCTCTCAATGATAATGATGCATGACTTCTGGAGTTTATACTTTTTAGTCACCATTATAGGCAGGACATAAAGTATTTTGTGCTGCAGCAGATTCATTCTTCAGTGTTGTATATTTGTATTGTTTTATGCACGATCACTATATAGCATAGCTTGTTATATTTTATTTTTGCAATGTATGCAAAAGTCTATATATGGTACCTCGAGACAATTTCTCTTCACAGAATAATTATAAATTCTGCAAGCAAATGCACAAAGTATATACAGTTGCATAGGAAATAGGTTTAACAAAACAAACAAAAAAAACTCATATCCATCAAGTTAATGCACCTATCTGTGTATTAATGTAGATAGCCAAACTTGCCTCTTGATAAAGGCAAAGCAGGTCAACCCTAGGATCCAAAATACATGTTTTTATTTTTTTATTTTTTTTTAAAGTTATGTTCTAGCCCAACTTACCCTGAGACAATTGAAAATATTAAATTTTTCACCCCACAGAAATACCCACCAAGTGCTACAACTCTACATTTTGAGTTTTATGCAGAACCTGGGTCTGAAGTTAAAATTGAAAAAAAGGTAGGTTTTGCAAATTTTTTATTTTTTATTTTAAAACAATTTTGTACTTTAATACATATGTACTCTGTGTATTTACTAAATGTTAATGCAGTGTATACAGGAAAGAAACACACCTGAAATTTGTATCTGTTTCCTCTATGATGGCTGCACTCCTTAGTATGCCTAAATCTGTGTCGCATCCTAAAATATTTAGCATGCGTATGAAGGTGAAGCACTCCATGGATGCAAAGCATAACATTGGCACATTTTTGGTAGTTTTCTTCTTAAAGGAACACTAGCGTTAGGAATACAAACTTGTGTTCCTAATGCTATAGTGTGCCCTGTCCCTAACTTAAAGTCCACCCAATAAGTAAATGGTTAAAAACCATTTCTCCTCTTGCAACAGCACGAAGATGGTGGGACCTAATAGGCATGCACAGCACTTGCCGCACACTCGTTTAAGATTCCCTGTAATAAATTGAATAAATGAAGAATTTGAAGGTGTTAGATGATGTTGAATGTTCTCATATGATGCATGTTGATGTCTAACGGAGTAAAGCTCAGTTGGGGACCAGGAAAAAATTCTAGTCCCGGTCTTGAAGAAAGCCACCAGAGGTGGTTAACCTGGCTATGCAATCATTGCGGTTTCTGAGAAAGTGCCATGTTTTTTAGATTGCAGGATTAAGGGGACAGGGGTACTGCACCCAGACATCTTCAATGAGATGTAGTGTCCTTTTAATGTCAATATAGACATACATGTATGGTAGGCAATATTTATATAAATAAAACAAGACCTCACAATAAACACAGACCACGTTTATTTTTCATTGGGCTTGGCAGTGGTGTTTATTCGAAGCTTAAGGGTCTTCCAACCATAATTTCATAACCCCGTAACACAAATGTTAACCTTTCTAAACTTTTAACTTTATTAACCACCAATAGCCATCAGTATTGGATGACCTGACCGCCGTTAATTTAAAACCATTTACAACAATGCCCCAGTGCTTCAAAGCACCATGACAATACAATTAAATCAAATTGAAGGGAGGCAGAATGGATCTGTCAGCGCTGCTTTTGCTTCAGTACACTGACAGGATTGCACTCACATTGCTGCTTTTTATTCTGTCCCACTTGCCCTCTTTTTTTTTTTTTTTAATGCTTACAACCTTCAACCAATCCCAGGGCATCTCCAGTCGCCACCTATAGCCGTGTCGTCAATTCTGCCCAGATACCTGTCTGACAGACTGCAACAAACGTTAAAATTTTTCTTCATTCCAATCCCAGACAAGGCAGAATAACTCCACTGCCACCATACATATATGCCAAAGTCGTTACTACCTTTGGCTACTATTTTGGATAAATATATTCTTCAGTTTGACCTCCATGATCTGTGCACTGCATATATAATGCTTTAAAATATAAAAAAATAATTTCCACAAACTTAAAACCATTGTATTCTTGAGTGTACAGCCTTTGTAGTGAAATGTATGTAAGTTAAGATTGTGTTCTAATATTTAAAGGTTAAGTCTAAACGGCATAAATTCTATAAACTCTTGTTGTAGTTTTGGTGCTTTTAGACTGTGAACACTATCTACCGATAAATTCTCAATTTTTCTACAGCAGGACCTGGGGCACCTGCAGCCAAACCCTCTATTTGCCTTTTGCATTATTAATTTTGTGGGATAGATTGGCAGAGTGTCAGGCGCCCTGATTACCGTCAAACCCCAGCCCCCCCAATTGTTTCACCCACCTTAATCCGTACAATTGTACGTAGTGGTTGTGCTGCTTAGACTGTCCCTTTAAAATTGTAATGTGGTTTGTTTGAGTGTTATCTATGTTCTCTGCCTCACTATTTATTATGCATTTCTATTTCAGGCATCCAGTAATACACTACATTATATACATATAGAACAGCTAGATAAGGTAAGCATTCCTGAGAATTTTAATTAAGCAGCAAATAGAATGCCTGTGATGTGTGACACAGTCTAATAAGTGCTTTGATTTGATTTCCAGATTTCTGAAAGTCCCTCTGAGATAATGGAATCTCTCACCAAACTGTACAGCATTCCCAAGGACAAGCAGGTAACATTACAGTCTTATACTGTGGGGTCCAGTGCAGTGCCTGACCGAGTTGGATTTTTATCTGGGGACATTGATTAGGGTCATTGGTTATTCTGTTTTGCTTGATTCACAAGCTTCTTGTCAATTTTTTTTTTTTTTTTTTAAATTGTTGCTTGTGTTGTCAACGTTTTGATCAGTTTTTCGTAAATGCTATATCATCTCTCTCTCTTTTCTACAGATGCTTTTGTTCACACACATACGATTGGCACATGGCTTTTCTAATCACAAGAAAAGACTACAAGCTGTACAGGCTAGGCTGCATGCAATCTCTATATTAGGTATTTTCTCCAACAGTCTTTAATGTACCATATTTTTGTAAGTAAAATAATGCAGTGTTTGATATGAAGAACTAAATAAAGTTACTTGTCTTTCTGCAGTTTATTCCAATGCCTTGCAAGAATCTGCAAACAGTATCCTTTACAATGGGTTAATAGAGGAATTAGTTGATGTGTTACAGATAACAGATAAACAACTTATGGTAAGTATTAGATATTTTTGTCTGTGTGTATACATTAGATAACTGACTTTTTTGCAGGCTTTGGAATGTAAGAAAATGAAATAGTATCCAAATTTTCATAACAGTATTATTTGTCTACATATTATACATTTTCTAAAAATGCTTAAATGAGTTTACCAAGATCACAATGTACAATAAAAAGTTCTAAACACTTTAGATAGAATTAAAAAACAAAAAACCTTCAGTTTTTTTGCTGTAAACACTGTCTTTTCTGAGAAAATGCAGTGTTTACATTACAGCCTAGTGATAACTTCACTGGCCACTCCTCAGCTGTTAGAGATCCTTCCTGGGTCAATGCTGCTTAAAATGCATCCAAATATTCAGTATCTCCTCCCTCTGCATGCAGACACTGAACTTTTCTCATAGAGATGCGTTGATTCAATTAATCTCTGAGGAGATGCTGATTGGCCAGGGCTGTGTTTGGATTGTGCTGGCTCTGCCTCTGTCAGTCTCAGCCAATCCTATGGGGAAGCATTGTGATTGGATCAGGCCACCATTTCTGATGTCAGCAGTTTGTTTTTCTGAGGCAAACATGCAGATCTACAGCTTCAGTGTTAAATACAGTAAGATTTTGCTATATTTATGGAGGCATGAGGGGCCCAGGGAGGCTAGATGGTGGTTTTTAACACTATAGGGTCGGGAATACATGGTTTTTGTTCCTGACCCTATAGTGATCCTTTAAGTTAGGGCTGCCTACCCAAGGGATCAATCTGCCCATACCAGTGCTGGGCAAAGGTAAGGAATCTTGCTGATCAGCCCAAAGCACTGGTAACGTGGAGGTCAGAGCCCCAGCAATAAACCCTGGCAGCCCAAATAAGAGCCAACCTAGATGCACAATGTACCTGACCATTAAAAATATCAAGTACATGGTGCATATAACTGTAACATACAGTTAGTTAAAGCTTCAGTTTTATGTAGCAGAGCAAAGATTAGAACTGCCATTCACATAAGCACAGTATGCCCAGACTAAACACTGCAATTGCAATGCTCTTTGTCCATTAAACAAAGGTTAGTTTTTTTTATTTTTATTATGCTTAAATAATTTTCCCCACTTTTCTTGCATCAGGACATTAAAGCGGCATCTTTGAGAACTTTGACCTCAATTGTTCACTTGGAAAGAACACCCAAGTTGAGCAGCATCATAGACTGCACTGGCACAGCCTCGTACCATGGCTTTCTACCTGTATTAGTCCGCAACTGCATTCAGGCTATGATTGGTGAGTGCCAGACTATTTTTTATTATTGTGAAGAATATAAGACTAATTTCCATATGTTTTTTGACTGTACCTTCATTTTGTCTTCTCCTCTTCGGATAATATACCATTAGAAGAACCATGCACACTCCAGTACTGAGAACAAAAAAATATTGAGCATTAACCTTGTTCTCTGTACTTCAGTCAGTGTGCATGATTCTTCTAATTGTATATTGGGAGCATATTATTGTTTTTTTTTTTTTTTTTTTTTTGGGACTTCCCTTAAACCAAATGCACCTCTTTGCATGAGTGCCAGGGCTATCTGATGTTTTCATCTGCTTCAAGGCAGCTTTAGTTTTAAACACTAAAAAAGCAATAGTTTTGTAAATCTCAGCACCTTACTTTTGCAGAATCTAATTGCCTGACTGCAACTGTCAGTGTAGTTTGATTGGTTCCGTAATGCTGTGCTTTAATCTATGTGCATTGCACTCTGAGTTTCATATGTATGAACTACGGTAACATATATCTGCATATGCCCAGTTACAACCTAGAAATAAAGATCAGGGTGAACAGTTGCTTTAAACATCTGTTATATTGACTTTGGGGTTAGACAGTTATAGGAACCCTTTTAAAATCCTGTGTGTCTAGTTAGAGATAGAAAGGTTTCCATTTCACTGTATTAAGCAATTGAAGTACCATGTTATTTGCTGGGTTGTGTGCATATGTGGGATTTATAGGGAATCAATATGTGTACCTAAATTTAATGAACACCACTCTTCTGAAAAACAAAAATGATATATATTGTTTTAAATCTTTCCTTTATCAGACCCAAGTATGGATCCATACCCTCACCAGTTCGCCACAGCACTTTTTTCCTTTTTGTATCACTTAGCCAGTTACGATGCTGGTGGAGAAGCGCTGGTATCCTGTGGCATGATGGAAGCACTTTTAAAGGTAATTAAGAATTTTGGGGCTAGTCGTTATTGTGGTGGTGTTATAATATTGAATGTGGGTTATTAGGTTTACATGAATAGTATTGGTTTGTGGTACATTAACTACTAGTGTCACATATATTCTGACTTTTGAGAATTCTAACCCACTGACAAAGTAGTTTAAAAAAATAAATAAAAATCAATTTTTTTTTATTTTTTGGGGGTTGGTTAAATTGTATTTATTTTCACCAGGTTATAAAATTCCTTGGAGATGAACAGGATCAGATTACATTTGTGACGCGAGCTGTGAGAGTTGTTGACCTCATTACAAATCTTGACATGGCAGCCTTTCAGTCTCACAGTGGGCTGACCATATTTATTTATCGACTGGAGGTGAGCGCACCACATCCTTCTCAGAGATTGATTAGTCTGTAAAGTTCACACTACCTGAAGAACATTTTCTTTTGGCAATCTTTGCCAATCTACTGCAATGTTTGGCTCTAGTATTTGCAATATTTTACAGATATAATGTAACTTTAATTTGCATTCACTCCTTTTTGCTGACAATGTGATACCCCATTTATTTTGTTACTATAGGCAGAACCAAGTGACTGTTCTGTCTCAAATAGCAAAGTGCTTCAGCTGAGAGAAATTGATTTCCCACTGTATAACAACCTCCCCCACTTTCTGTCATAGCAATAGGATAACCCAAACATAAAACAAAGGTACCCTGCTATAAATTCAGGTAGCTTATTCAACCATCAAAGTGAAGGGCCAATGTATCAACACGTATATGTGACTTTCCCGAGCCATTGGACAACATTGCATGTTATAAGAAATCCTAGCACCCTGGGTGCTATAGTGTAGTGTCCCTTTAACCGTTTTTGTAAAGCCAGATATACTTAAGTGTTTGATGCATTTTCTAAAATGCGGCCTAGACCACATATCTAGATGCCTTTTTTTTAAATGTATTTTCTTGTTAGCATGAAGTTGACCTTTGTCGGAAAGAGTGTCCATTTGTCATCAAACCCAAAATTCAGCGCCCCACTACTGTTCAGGATGGTGAGGAGATGGAGACTGATATGGAAGGTAAAACAATTTTCAGTGATGTGCTTTATAGAGCTTGACGTTAACCAGTTTTTGGGACTCCTGCTATTCTCTAATTGGAAATGTGTAACTTTCTAGAATTGTCAAGATTAAGACCAGAAACAAATATTCCTTTTCTATACATGTAGAACTGTAGGTCACCTATCCATACTTATCTTTATTGCGTTCCTGAAGCATCTAGTACATACACATCAAGCATCATAGACAGAAGAGAAGACCACCTAAATGGTGTTACATGATTCCTATCTTGCTCCCCCATCATTCATCTGTACCCAAATTAGTTTATAAAAAAAATAAAAAAATAAAATCTGAAATGTGTTTTGACATTCCTTTTATACCACTGCTTTAAAAAGCATGTATCATATTTTGCACGGAAATTTGTAGAGCAGTAATCCACAGGTTTAGTGTACTAATGGCATCATAAATATGTTCTGTGTATGATACTCTTGTTTTAAAACTTTTGTTAGAATTGACCATTTCTTGTTCTCTAGTGACTGACGTAGCTATGGAGAGCAGTCCTGGTCCTTCCACCTCTGCAGAGCTTCGTCCTGTGAGCATAAGCACCAGTGCTGGGCATGTAGTTACATCCCGGTCAGGTAAAGGTATCTGTTATTTTCAATTTTCTTTTTTGGACTGTTTGTTGTAAACAACCTTTAAATAATTGTCATACTAATTTTTTTTTTTTTTCCTGCCTATTTTGTAGGGGTGCAATGCATTCCCCAGAGGGCTGCTCTCTTGAAATCTATGCTTAATTTCCTTAAAAAGGCTATCCAGGATCCAGCTTTTTCAGATGGAATTCGCCATGGTAAATATTTTATTTTTGTGTAAATAGATGAGCTGTATATGACCCATACTAATCACTGGCATCTTTCAACAACTGATGTTCTTCAGTTATCAGTAGTTTTCTTACATGTGATTGCCCAGCTAACATATTGACATTATTTTATTAGTGATGGATGGAACTCTTCCCACATCTCTGAAACATATAATCAGCAATGCTGAATACTATGGCCCTTCCCTCTTTTTACTAGGTAAGTAAAGCCAGGTTCTGTCTGCCAATGCTGTTTGAGTACAGAATACTTTTATGCTGTTTCACTTCTTTACAGGTTAGCAGGTTTGGCAGTTAAATTTTTTTAATTTTTATTATTTATTTATTTTTTACTCCAGAATGCTGGTTATTGTTCTCTTGATATAACCATTGCAATATTTTATAAAGTTTGCTGTTGAAGCTTTGACTATATTAGTGGAAATACGTGTTCTGGAGCCGCCCAATTTCACTTTGCAGTACTTTAGTTCAACTAAACTTTTTTTTTTACATTTCCCCCTCTTTTAGAGTATACATTTTTGTATGCCTAAACACTGATTTCATACGTGAAATTTAAAGTATGATTTTTTTTTTCTGCCATTGACTTGTCTATTGCACGATTTGTCGCACAGATTAACATGCACATTTTTTTGCGTTCACTATTGTATGTTACATAATTAAAAATGTCTGTTAAAGGTACTATAACTTATTAGTTCTAAGCTTACAAGGGTCATGTGTTAAAGGACCACTCTAGGCACCCAGACCACTTCAGCTTAATGAAGTGGTCTGGGTGCCAGGTCCAGCTAGGGTTGACCCATTTTTTCATAAACATAGCAGTTTCAGAGAAACTGCTATGTTTATGAATGGGTTAAGCCTTCCCCCTATTCCTCTAGTGGCTGTCTCATTGACAGCCACTAGAGGCGCTTGCGTGCTTCTCACTGTGATTTTCACAGTGAGAGCACGCAAGCGTCCATAGGAAAGCATTATGAATGCTTTCCTATGTGACCGGCTGAATGCGCGCAGCTTTTGCCGCGCGTGCGCATTCAGCCCAGTAAGAGGAACGGAGGAGGAGAGCTCCCCGCCCAGCGCTGGAAAAAGGTAAGTTTAACCCCTTTTCCCCTTTCCAGAGCAGGGTGGGAGTGGGACCCTGAGGGTGGGGGCACCCTCAGGGCACTATAGTGCCAGGAAAACGAGTATGTTTTCCTGGCACTATAGTGGTCCTTTAAAGTGGAACTCAAATTATTTGCATGAGTATATCAAGATATAGGCATCTTTAGGTAAATTGTCTGGTTATTGTTTGCCTCAGTGGTAGAGATGGTAATTGCCTTGTATCCAGCAGTTAAAAAAATTAAATAAAAAATAAAATAAAAAATGTGGCAGAAGTGGTGGCGGCGAGGTGTGAATGGTACTTGACAAAAGGCTGAAAACACAGATCTAAGGTGTTGCATCCCTTAAAAAAATAAATAAAAAAATTCCCCCTCCTTCTCCCCCTTATTTTGCAGAGATTTTTTTAAATGTTTGCCTTTTTATGACTCTTAATTTCATTCTTTCAGCTACAGAGGTAGTAACAGTGTTTGTATTCCAAGAGCCTTCGCTGTTGTCTTCGCTTCAGGATAATGGGTTGACAGATGTCATGCTCCATGCTCTCCTAATTAAAGATGTAAGCACTTTGCCTATATTAGACAGCTACTGGTTTCTCCTTTTGTTTTTTTTCTTGTCTTATCATCTCTAGTAATGTATTTGCAAAAACCCAACAGACTTTTGGTACATTGTGGCCAAAAAAGGGCCAAACTATTAGCAAAGCTTTAAAGGACCACTATAGGCAACCAGACCACTTCAGCTTAATGAAGTAATCTGGGTGCCAGGTCCAGCTAGGTTTAACCCTTATTACTGTAAACATTGCAGTTTCAGAGAAACTGCTATGTTTACATATGGGTTAATCCATCCTCTAGTGGCTGTCTCATTGATAGCCGCTAGAGGCGCTTCCACGCTTCTCACTGTGATTTTCACAGTGAGAAGACGCCAGCATCCATAGGAAAACATTGAGAATGCTTTCCTATGGACTGACTGCGCGCGCAGCTCTTGCCGCGCATGCACATTCAGTCAGGGACGTCAGAAGAGGGAGGAGAGTCCCAGCACCGAGGGGAAAAAGGTAAGGAATTAACCCCTTCTTGCCACTTCAGCTTCAATGGAGTGGGAGCCTGAGGGTGGGGGCACCCTCAGGGCACTATAGTGCCAGGAAAACGCTTTAATAAATCAGCTGGGTTTGTGTTTGAGCTTAAAGGAACACTCAGAACAAAGTTCCTTATTTAAATTACAAGCCCTCTTCCAGATCTTCCTCCCATGAAGTCATTCTGATGACTTGTCCATTCAGATACTTTTCATTCAGAAACATTGTGGACGCAGGCATGGCAATCAACATGTAATGTTTTGATGCCTATCCTCAGTAGTGATGTCGCGAACCGTTTGCGAACTTCCCGCGAACGGTTCGCCGCGCTCCGGTCAGCTGACCCTCCCTCCCAGACCCTCCTACCTCCTGAACAGCATCCATGTTGAAGCGACATCTCTAATCCTCAGTACCACAATTCTAAATAAAGTTTGACAAAGGTCTCTCATTCCGTTCTCTTTGTGTTATAACTATGGTTGGACCCTTCAAATAATTTTGTCTTTAAATCATCAACACCAGTATAAATGCGAATAGAGTGAAGCATACAAAAGCTAATCCTTTCTGAAATGTCTGTGAACAAATGCATGATTTTCATTAGTGCTGTATTGTTTTCTGTAATATTTTACACACCACATCGTCTTACAGAGACAGTTCATTACTTTAAATATGTTATGGATAGAAGTAAATGCTCAAACTGTAACTTCAAGATCTAAGGAATTGATGTCTGTCAAGCTAGTATTATTGAAATAGTCTACAGGATGTGGAAACAGTTACGTGATTTGACTTTATTATCTGCATTTTTCTTAAGGTTCCTGCTACCAGGGAAGTTCTAGGCTCTCTCCCTAATGTCTTCAGTGCCCTCTGTCTGAATGCCCGGGGACTGCAGTCTTTTGTGCAATGCCAACCCTTTGAAAGGCTCTTTAAAGTGTTGCTGTCTCCTGATTATCTTCCTGCAATGAGGAGGAGGAGGAGCTCGGACCCTCTAGGTAAGCTTATTTCACTCCCAGAATGTGTTCATATAAGAGCTGTAGTGCAGGAAACTTGACTGACCTTACTTTTCTATGACCTCACCAGGGAGCTGCAGTAGAGATGGCAGGCTTTTAAGGTCAAGTTCTGTAATTTCAGAGGACACAATTACTGATTAGTTTTTGAGAAAACAATGTTCTATTCTGGTTTTGTTGTTCAGCTGTTTTTTTCTTCAGTTGAAGTATGATATGGAGGTCCTTAACTCATCCCCTTTCCTGCAGACAGGACAACAGGTTAATGCATTGAGAGCTTCCTTGACATCCAACTCATTCTCTTGTATATTTAATAACACTTTCCATTTAGCAGTGCCGGAATTTGCCTTCTAGCTTTTCCAGACTTCTAAACCTAACCAGAATGAGATGTCAATGGCACTTCCTAAAATTCCCTAATCCTCCTCTAACCCCTGCCGAAGAGACCTGTAGTGCAGCATAGAATAGCGCTCTTCAGGTCTCTAGCCGAGGGATTAAGAGGCCCATGGTCTCTTCCAGCTTTGACCTCTCTCCGGTCTCCTGCAGGCGATACAGCCTCTAACCTGGGCAGTGCTGTTGATGAACTGATGAGGCACCAGCCCACGTTAAAAACAGATGCCACCACTGCTATTATTAAGGTAAGAATTTGGGTTAATAGGGGTTGCATGTATTTGTTTATACCATGACAATATGCTTCTGTTCCTTTCCCTCTAGTATGTGTTGCAAACTTAGTAGTTGCTCCCTCCCCCCTTATTAGTTGGCTTTATGGCCCTGTGGATAGGGTGAAGGGGCTTTTATACTTGTATATACAATCTCTTGTATGTTTAATTTTCTGGTTTGTTACCAGCTCTTAGAGGAAATATGCAATCTGGGAAGGGACCCAAAATATATCTGTCAGAAACCATCTATTCAGAAGGCTGATGGCACAGCCACGGCTCCTCCACCGAGATCTAACCATGCGGCAGAGGAGGCTTCAAGTGAGGACGAGGAAGATGAGGAAGTACAGGCAATGCAGAGCTTCAGTGCAAACCAGCAAAGTGAAGTTGAGCCTATTGCACAGTAAGTTTGCTGTTTACTTTAGTTATGTAACTAATAACGTACTTGTTTATGCTTGGCAGATAACACTTTATAATGTGCTTTTTCGACTTCTGCTGCTATTCTGGTTTGACCCATCGTTAAACAAATGACTCCAAACACCATGTTTTAAGTGAATTGAATTGGTTATGGTGCTTGGTGTCTGTGTGTGCAGCTTATTGCCTATGGTGGGGTACATTTTAATTTTCTTAGGGTTTTGTTTTTTCTAGAATTAATGTAAGCATGCCCAATATTGATACATATTTAAAAGAATATAGTGTATAGGTAAATCACAGGTCTCTAGCCATGAGCCAATTTTACTTTTTATCCAGAAAAATGTGTGAGTAGCCCACATAAAACATAAACCTTGATTAATTCAGAGCAAGACACAAAGTCCTACTTGGTTTCTGTAAAGAAAATTATATTTCTCCTCTTCCCCCCCCCCCCAATGTTTCATGCTAGATCTTTTTGGTAATGGTGTCTTTATTTCCTAGTGTTGTGGGAACTGAGGAGAGAATTCCCATTCCTCTTATGGATTATATTCTCAACGTGGTGAGTATAAATATTGCAGTTTGAGAAAGGAAATACCATCTCTTCCTTTAGTACTCATTACAAATTGTATGTCCTGATTTCATTTGGAAACCTTTTGTGATTTGCCTAAATTGTCTGTGTTCAAATTTTTTGAAATAACATCAGGGAAAATACAAAACCCTACCACTTTTTCGTAGATGAAATTTGTCGAATCTATTCTGAGTAACAACACGACGGACGATCACTGCCAGGAATTTGTGAGCCAGAAAGGCCTTCTGCCTCTGGTCACCATTCTTGGCCTGCCCAATCTACCTATTGATTTTCCTACCTCTGCTGCCTGCCAAGCCGTGGCTGGTGTCTGCAAATCAATTTTGGTAAGTTTTTTTTTTTTTCCTAAAGTTTTGTTTCCCACCAATAAAACGAGTGTAAACCGCAATTGATTTTAGATCTTAAATAACTATTGTGCGTTCAAGTGTTTATGTATATTATAAGCAATATCTGTTAATGATGGGTATTGAGTACAGTTACAAATTGTAGGGACTTAACTGCAAAGAAATCAAATAATGAATTCCCAATGCTCCAAATTCAGGCTCCCGTTCAGAGTTAGATTGTAGTTCACGGTTTCTTAAAAGAAACTGAACTTCCCCATATATTTATCTGTAGGGGTTATTTACTGAACAGTGAGCTGAAAATTGAATTGCAAAATTCAGACTAGAATAGGAAAGCTGTGACTAGAACTTTTGCAAATTCTTGCGAAGCATGTTTGGCTTAAATTGTGCAATTTGTTTTAAATTCCCTAAAATAAACTCCTATATGACCAGTTATAACCCCCCCACAGTAGGTCAGGTATATAGAACATTGAATAGAAGTGGTATTTTTTAATTTCTGAAATATTCTTCTAAAATGATTTGTTGGTTTTTAAAGATTTGTTTTCATTATTTATTTATTTATTTCCACTCTCCTTTTCTCAGCATATGTTTGGCTCTAACATGCATTTTTTTGGGTTTCTTTTTAGACTCTATCTCATGAGCCCAAGGTTCTTCAAGAAGGGCTACTTCAACTGGACTCCATTCTATCATCCCTGGATCCTCTGCACCGACCCATTGAGGCACCAGGAGGCTCTGTGCTGTTACGGGAATTGGCGTGTGCTGGCAATGTAGCGGACGCTACTCTATCCGCCCAGGCAACACCTCTTCTTCATGCACTAACTGCAGCACATGCTTACATCATGATGTTTGTGCACACGTGCAGGGTAGGACAGGTGAGAATACAGAGTATAATTAAACAAATTTGTACTATTTGTGTTAAAGAAACATTTAATTACCATGAGCACTAGAGCCGGTTAAAGAGGTTTTTGTGATAGGGGGTGCCTTGGTACAATTCCCTAGTATGTTTTCAAATCATTTTAAGAATGGCTTGACCGCTTATCTGTCCCTCATGGCTGCCGCCATGGTCTTCCTGAAGGTCCTCTTCACCAGTGCTTCATCTGCCTGGAGCCCACGTCGGTGTTCTCATGCCTGCAGTTTATGAAGATGTTTATTTTCTATTTAATGAAATATGTATTTTTCTGTGATACTTCCTGGCTTTTGCTGCTCTGTGCAGTATACGTTTGGTCAATTTTTGTAGTTTTTACATGATTTGAAGTCTTGTCATTGGTGGTGGATTTTGGCATTTTCAATTCTATACTTTGAGAGGTAAGAGAAAGGGATGTATAGAACATTTACATAGATAAAAATGTAGAGATAAATGCTGTATGTTCATTTAGAATACAAGAGACAATATTGATACATCCTATGGAGAAACTGACCATTATAGTGAAAAACAAACTTTACTCATTGCAAATTCCTTCTCCAACCAGATGAAAAATAAAAAAGCTATTAAATTATACTTGTTTCTTTTCTTCTCAGAGTGAGATCCGTGCCATCTCTGTAAATCAGTGGGGTTCCCAGCTGGGTCTCAATGTCTTGAACAAGCTAAGCCAACTCTACTGTTCTCTGGTGTGGGAAAGCACAGTCTTGTTATCTCTCTGCACCCCCAACAGGTACTATCAGAAGATGGAGTGTGGAATGTGCCTCCTTGTAAACATAGTTGTTCGTTATCTTTGGCAAGAGCAACTGGCAGTTGGAATGTTAAATTTGTAAATTCAGTGATAACTTTAAAAATAAAAAATAATAATTTTGTGGTTACAGCTTGCCAGTTGGATGTGAATTTGGGCAGGCAGATATGCAGAAATTGGCCCCAAAGGATGAGAAGGCGGCAGGTACATCGCTACATGGAGCCAAGAGGGCAGGTATGTTTACCATGTCATTCTAGTCTGAGACTTGCATTTGCATACATGTTCGTTTTCTGATATGGTATTGTCTTTATATCTCAGATATGCTGATGGTTTATAGTCAAAATGTTCCATTCCAACATGGGGAGGTACTAACGATCTAAAATAAACGAGCCTCAAGGGAGCTCAAAATATTATGACCATTCCATATTTTTATAGGCAAGCACGATATTGTAATATCCTTTACTTGGTGGTTTTTAACCCCTTAAGGACCAAACTGGAATAAAAGGGAATCATGACATGTCAGGGGTTAAAGAAGTTCTCAAGAACTGTCCAAGTCTAGTCTTAATTCTTAATTATTACTCCCTATTAGTCCTGTACAGGGTTATTGATAACCCAGAACTGTAGGTGGTTTCGAGGTTTAATTTGATCACTCAAAACGATTACCATGTTACTTTTGTATATAATAGATGGGGAGCCTGAAGTTTCTGCTGTTAGTGAAGAAGCCACTGGTTTATTGGAAGGCATCGGGCTTGATGGTGACACTTTGGCTCCAATGGAAACCGATGAACCCAGTACCTCTGACCCCAAGGCGAAACCAAAGATTACTCCTGCAATGGCAGCCAGAATAAAACAGATTAAGCCTTTATTGTCAGGTTTGTCAGCAAAGATTTACTTATTGCTATTTTTTTCTGCTTTTTAACACGTTACTTTTTATTTGTGCACACTTGACAAAGCCTCCAGTTAGCAAAAGTACCAAAACTAATATTTAGTTTTGTTTTTTTAACCCCACCTTAAGTAATAGTGTGTTTCTACACAAAATGGCTTTAGGAAGCACTGACTCAACCATCAGCCTTTACTCTAAAAGCTGATCAACTTAGAAGCAAATTTAATTAGAAGCAAATTTTCCTGATCATCTCAAACCAAAATCTGTTTCAAAAAATATAAAATTCTGCTTTATATTTGGGCTTTTCATTTATTGCTAGCCACTGTGGAGGGTGGGGAATATTTCACAAAAATCCTGGTTTAGCTCAAATTATACTTTTTCTTCCTCAAATATTTTCTGGCCTGGGCATACACTTGAATTTTCAAGCTAGGAAGTTGCGTCACTTTTTAGAAATCCACTTACAGAAGGCCCTTGTTATTGTACACCTATTTGCAGCAGCCTTTATGCTAGACTTCTTGCTAAATCCAGGAATGACCAGAGTTTTGGACCAGCCACAATTAACATTAAGTTGCTTAATTCTTATTTTATTATTTATATAGCGCCATCAGATTCCGTAGCGCTGTACAAAGGGTGGACTAACAGATACTTTAATTGTAACCAGACAACTCGACGTACAGGAACAGAGAGGTGGAGGGCCCTGCTCAATGAGCTTACATTCTAGAGGGAGTAATTAATGTGTGCCATTTGGTTTTTATTTAGTATGTTTAACTCTGAATAGTCAATCTTTGGATAATAGTGTGGCTGCTCTTCAAGAGGCCATATCTTACCTTATCCTGACACAAATAGCTTAAAAGGCACAATTCATTGGTTTCATCCATAGTTTGGTCTGTATATACAGTTGCAGAAACTGAATATTGTCCATATAATGCCTCACATGGTTAATTACATTTTCTTCATATGTATTTCTGCACTAAATTTACTTTTGTGTTCAGCATCTTCTAGGCTAGGTCGTGCCCTGGCTGAGCTTTTTGGCCTTCTAGTCAAACTTTGTGTTGGGTCTCCTGTCCGCCAAAGAAGAAGCCATCATGCAGCAAGTACCACTACAGCCCCAACTCCAGCTGCCCGCTCTACAGCATCCGCTCTAACAAAATTACTAACCAAGGGACTTTCTTGGCAGCCTCCTCCCTACACACCAACTCCCAGGTTCAGGTATGTGCTACATTGTCTCCATGTACTTTCTGTGATTAAAGGGTTACTCCAACCTCCATGACAACTTTCCGTATGTTAAGGCTTTCTGCTTGAAATGCTGCTCATACAGAGATATTTGCACTTTTTTTTTTGCCAAGTGCTAATTACCCCTACTGTGACTGTTATTTCTCAGCTGCAAATTGTCTGTCATCCGTGTGCACTCTCTCATTCATTGAATGAAGCTATTCTGTCAGCCAGTTTGAGACTGCTGCATTACACGAGTTAAATGCTAGCCTGAAATGTAACTTTAAAAAGTATGACATTGTTTACCATTGTGAGTGACCTACTACAATTCCATTTTATTTGGTTCTGCTCCCGTGTTTGTTCACATTTTTGTTGTTTATGGTAATTGACCCTAGTAATTTCATTTTTTTTTTTTTTTCTTAATTGGAAGTCGGATTTTAGCAGTGTTTAGCAGCTTAGATAAAGGCCTCTCACCTTTTTTATTGCTGTATAAAAATGCTGTTCTGACTGAACATGCCTAAGTTTACAAATTAGAAAAAGGTTTTGCAAATACATTCATGTTACAGGGTTCTATATTTTTATATGGAAAATACAATAACTGAACATTGGAAACATTTTAAAAAGTGGCTACCAGATCTATCACAAAACTTAGATGGTATTTTTAACACTATAGGTTCAGCAATACAGGTTTGTGTTCCTGACCTGTAGTGTTCCTTTAATTATTTAGCGCCTTATAATCATAGAATGGAAGTTATTGGCAAGTAGTTGACATATAAAATATTAACAAGCTGAAGAAGGCTGTGCTTGACCTTACAACCATGATATTGCTGGGGAAGTGCCCTGTTTGTAATGTAACCATATTGTGTTTGTGTAACCATTTACCTCCACAACTCTCCATTTTAATCCTAGCTTGAAAGTAATCCTGATTTTTTTTTTTTTTTTTTTTTTTTTTTTTTTTTTTTTTTTTTTTCTTCTTCTTTAGGCTGACATTCTTTATCTGCTCTGTTGGTTTTACCTCCCCCATGCTCTTTGATGAGCGCAAATATCCATATCACCTCATGCTGCAAAAATTCCTCTGCTCTGGTGGACACAACGCTCTCTTTGAGTAAGTGAAATATTGGGTTGTCATGCCAAGAAGTGCGGCAGCTCAGAGGACAGAATAGTGTGGCTATGATTTGTGCAAACATTACATATAGATAGATGTATAGATAGATATGCACATAATTTATAGCCGGGATACAAGATTACGTCATATTCCGGCGGCCTGCACTCTGTGCACAGAGAAAAGAAAAGTCATGGGGACAAGCTGCAGACCCACTGCAGTATTATAACTGCTACTAATGTGAAATATGGAATAGGCCGTACAGTAGTTTTTGTGTAAATGGGTCAGTATATGTGTTTGACTGTGTGTGTGTTTTGAGGACTCAGTTTGATTAAACAAACTCAACAATCTATAGTTCCATTTTTGAATATTACACAAAAATACATACACATGTATATGAATATTTACGTGTGTATATATTGCAAGCATCACTTATATCTGCATAAAACACTCAAATTGTAAAGAATACAAATCTGAATTACATCACTTTAAGCATACAGTCAAGGCACACCACACACTATGATAAAGGAAGAGTACATTTACTAAACTTTCTGAAGTTTCTAAGCAGTAACCTCTATAGCCAAGTATCGCAGTGTGTTTTAAACTCTACTCTTATTGTAGAGCAAACTAAATTTAGTATGTCAGACTAAACTTGGCTCTCTATTTTTTTTTTTTTTTAAGAACTTTCAACTGGGCTCTTTCAATGGGTGGGAGAGTACCTGTTGCAGAGGGCCTTGAACACACAGATCTTCCAGATGGTACTGGAGAGTTCCTGGATGCTTGGCTCATGTTGGTGGAAAAGATGGTGAACCCCACAACAGTACTAGAGTCTCCTCACTCTCTACCACCAACTAAGTTACCAGGAGGACAGAACTTTCCTCAGTTTAGCTCATTGCGTTTCCTTGTGGTCACACAGAAGGTATGTTTCCAAGCTATTTTTCCACGTAAGTTTCTCGTATCCTGATTTGCATTATGGGTTGTTTCACGGATTAGTGTTGAACAGGTTGTGTGTGCATTCCTCAATACACCACTTTTTAGTTTTTGGTTTTTTTTACGCCCCTTTTAGGCAGCTTTCACTTGCATCAAGAATCTTTGGAACCGTAAACCCTTGAAAGTGTATGGTGGTCGCATGGCTGAATCTATGCTTGCCATCTTATGCCACATTCTCCGTGGAGAGCCCGTAATACGGGAACGCCTGAGCAAAGAGAGAGAGGGCAGCCGTGAAGAAGAGGGCCAACAAGATGAAAGTGGAGCCAGGAGGGAGCCCCAAGTGAACCAGCAACAACTTCAGCAGGTGGGAGTGTGAATTTGGTTTGTAGTGGAAATTTTGACTCCGAAGCATAGTGTCACAATCATCAAACAAACTGCATATTAAAGCAGTACATTTATATATCTCCGAATATTATTTCTAGCTTCGGTCCTTTCATCTCTAGCAGAATTATTTTCCTAAATATAAAATGATGTGTCCTAATCTATTTGTCTTTTTTCTCTATAGCTCATGGATATGGGATTCACAAGGGAGCATGCAATGGAAGCCTTGCTCAACACTAGTACCATGGAGCAGGCCACCGAATACCTTCTCACCCACCCGCCACCTCTTATTGGAGGTGTTGTACGGGTAAGTGTGGCAGTGCGAAAATCCATTTTACTTTTTGTTTGGCCCACCAATGCATTGTAATGCTTCCTCCTCCCCCCTCCACCCTCATCACATTCGTCTCCTTCACTCCATTCCAGCCCCTTTCTACCGCAGGCTTCACTGTGCCACTCATCAAGGCAGATTTAGAGGTATTCACAAGTGAAAGTTTAGGTTATGCTAGTCAGTCTGTAAATATTCATCTGCCTTGTGTCTAAAACAATTGAAATTTAGCTTAGTAGTCAAAGTGTTAATGATATCACAGCAAAACAGGTTCCCCTGGCCAAGCTGCAACAGCTCCCTTCTCACCCTCTGCTCCAATGTTCCCAATTCCCATTGGGTACTTGATGTCTTTTCTCTGCTTGTGCGCCCTTACTCTCATGCCCTGACCTCCCCATTCTGCAGAGCAGCCCAGCTGACGGGGTATCTGTTGTTGCTCTGCAGGACTTGAGTATGTCAGAGGAAGATCAGATGCTGAGAGCCATTGCCATGTCGTTGGGACAAGATATCCCTATGGAACAGAGGGCAGAGCTGCCCGAGGTACAGTACAAGCCCAAAATTGGTTAATGGGGGTTAGGCAAAGGGGACAGTGTTTTAAACTGTCCGTTTCAGCAGAAACTCATGGACAGGGTTTGAAGGGAACTGGCTCTTGTGCCTGCGTTAGAAAAGGTTGAGCACTCCCTTCTCCCATCTTCCTGTCCAATGTATCCTGCCGTGTTTTTGTTTTTTCTCTTTTATCCACTTAACCCCTGCTTCTTCCCCTCCACATATGGTGACGTTTTGTTTTTTTCCTCCCCCAACACTTGATGCGACCACTGAAGTGGAATGTGTTCTGTTGTGTTTTTTAAAGGTGTTTTTTCTTTTTTTTTTTTTCTTGGCAATTGAATATTTTTTTTAAGAAAAATGTAAACGCTTGTCTCTGTTGTAAAAAAAAAAAAAGAGGGGAAGTCTTCAGTTCAGTTCTTCAGTATCAGAGGCAGATATGGTAGTCTTCAGTTTTATAGAAGTATTGATGTCCAATATCTCTGGCCTGTTTTGCAAAGAGCCTGGTAAAATAACACTGGCACATCTTTTTATGATTCCTGCAGGAAACTGCTCGTCGTAAAGAGGAGGAGGAACGCAAAGCACGTGAAAAGCAAGAGGAGGAGGAGGCAAAATGTCTGGAGAAATTTCAAGATGCCGAACCGCTTGAGCAGGATGAGCTTCATGGGTTTACAGACACAATGCTTCCAGGATGCTTCCACTTATTGGATGAGTTGCCGGACACAGTGTATCGTGTGTGTGACCTTATTATGACTGCCATAAAGCGCAATGGGGCAGACTACAGAGACATGATACTCAAGCAAGTGGTTAACCAGGTAAGGCCAATTTAACCATTCCATGATCATGGCAGTTTGGGCTTTTTTTTTTTTTTTTTTTTAACTGTTTCTCATCTGATACTCATGTATTCATTCTATTTGATATTCTGATATGACAATGAATATAAAGCGGCACATTCCTTATTGAACTATGGCAGCAATGACTACCTCCTAACAATCACAGCAGAAAGGAAACAAAACTGTTAGTACTCCACATCGTTAATAGTATTCACTATCATTAATTCCTGTTGTCAACAGCTGAATAATGCAACATGTTTTAGAAGGCCAATTTTCACCTAACCTTTGAGCCTCTCTTCAGACCCCGCACACCAAATCCTTTTTTCAAGTTGTCTCCCTGAGATGTTGAAACCCTGCTGTGCATAATATCATGCCATAATTAAAGGATCACTAAAGTGCCAAGAAAACAAACTCATTTTCCTGACACTATATAATCCTAGATTCTCTGAAACTGCTATGTTTACATCTGAAGGGTTAAAACCTGGGGTCCTGGCACCCAGTCCACTTCTTTGAGCAGGTCATTTAAGAGGCTCAAAAAACTGAGTTTGCTTGTCTTATTTGCACCCAATAATTGCAACTAAACATTCATATGAATTGATTTGTATTTGTGTTTTGTAGGTTTGGGAAGCTGCAGATGTTCTTATTAAAGCCGCCCTTCCGTTGACAACTAATGACACTAAAACTGTGTCAGAATGGATCAGTCAAATGGCTACCCTTCCTCAAGCTTCCAACCTGGCCACTCGCATCCTTTTGCTAACGCTACTTTTTGAGGTGATTGCTCCCAACCGCTTTTTGCATAGCCATTCTGTTTTTGCATTCTGTTCACTTGAAATGTTTGAGGAAACTAAAACGCCATTAGCGTTTTATCATGGTTTTTAATGGGATTTTTTTCAATGGAAACCTTACTTTTGTTAATTCTTCTTCCAAGACACACACGTTGCTTCTGAAATAACCAGAGCTGCATAGCCAAATCTGAGTTACCGTCCCATTAGGACAAAGGTCTCACTTACAAATTAAGTTTTTGCCTTGTGATTTTCTTTCATGATACTGGCAAAATGTAGACAACCCCACTCCTGGACGAAATCTTTATGGGAATGCTCGGGTTGTTGTCATAAAATGTCACCTTTTACACTAAATGTTCTATACCTGCGGACATAAATGATTGCACAATCTGTGTGGTACAGCACATTCATGCAGCTCCCCATGCAAATTATAATCAAATAGTGAATATGTAAGCATGCACACTAAAGATCAAAAGGAATTTGAGTTGTTTGTACCAACTGAAACATGTTTGTGCCCAAGACTAGTTAGTCTCTCCACATAATGTTAATTGAAGGAAGCTCAGTTCTCTATAAGGTATCTCTGAGAGCCACTCTGAATAGACTTGTGTTATAATCTCCATATATAACCATTGGAAGTAACTGTCCTGTAAATAGTATTTTAAGCTTTCTACTGTAGTGTTAACATATAAAATGCTTTTATTGGGCAGACTAGATGGGCCAAATGGTTATCTGCAGTCTCATTCCATGTTTCTATATAATGCCTGCTTTAAAAAAAAAAAAAAAATATTATAATCTGTTTTTTTAGCCTATAATAATCTCCACAAAAACAAAGAACAAGGCTAGCCAATAATAATCTCCACTCTGAATTGCTTGGTGTTCATTGTTTGTTACTATCTCCTTTTTTTATAGTTTTTAAAAACATATTTTCAATTAAAAAAAAATTAATAATACAAAAAAAATATATATATATATTTTTTTTACATTTTGTCAGGAGCTGAAGCTGCCATGTGCCAGGATTGTGGAGACGAGTGGCATTCTTAATGTTCTGATAAAACTGCTGGAAGTGGTTCAGCCCTGTCTTCAAGCAGCAAAAGAGCAGAAGGAAGTACAGACCCCCAAGTAAGACCATACCATCTGATATTCCTAACTTGATGAATACGATTTCATGCGAATGTGCATTACTCTAGAGAATGCTTACTGGTGTTGCACGAGGTTGATGCTTGTAAAACAATCGGCACTTTCTATGGTTTAGCTGTATGGAAGCCAGGTTCATTGTGTCTTCCTGGACTGTTATGGCTTCGTGCTAATGGAAAAGAGTTGTCCTGTATTATGTAGAATACTACGCTGCAGTATGAAATCAATCATGGTTCTTCTCTTGGGATCACTCCTTGATTGGTCTTTCTTCCAAACTGCAGCATATGATTACTCCTTACTGTATTGTGATTTTGGCACATTACATGGCAGAAAAGACAATACTAAAAACAGTCCATAGTATGGCAAAGCGAAAAAGCTAAAGTCCCATTCTCTTGACATGTATGCCTTGCTCAGGAGTGTTCAATTTAGAAAATATTTAAACCTTTTTTTTGTCCTTTTACCTCAACTTATTTAATAACCACATTTGGGAAGCATACTTTAAATGATTGCTGTGCAATTGCTGATTGCTGTTTCTTGTTTTCAGGTGGATTACACCAGTCTTGCTGCTGATTGATTTTTATGAGAAAACCTCAATTTCTTCCAAGAGGAGAGTGCAAATGAACAGGGTATATGCATTTTGCTAAACTTTCTAATGTCTGCATTATTACACAAATTTTGGAGTCTTGCATCTAAATCCCGACCGTTTTAGTTAAGCCATTTGTATTTAGTCCCTTTTGAACAGTGCCTTGTCAAATGCATTAAATGCAAACATCCCTGCCAAATCCGGTTCCCCCCACACCCCCCTTCCCTTTCTCTATTTTGTGGGTAATTCACAGCACATTGGCTCATATATCAAGTGCTTCTCAGATTAGAAATTTACATATGCTCAATCAAATACATTGCACCAGTATATGCATTGTTCCTCGTGGAAGTTAATGTTTTATGAGATACTATATAGTGGGATGCCAGGCATGTGTTATCGAGCAATTATCTATATCCTCTTTCCTGTTCTTGCAATAGTTCAGGACAGTTAAAGGAGAACCTTGACTTTGTCATTCGCTAGTTTGCATAAATTCCAGTATTGTCCAGTCTCCTTTTAAAATGTAGCTGAATTTAAAAATTTTTTTTTTTTTTTTTTTTAGATTGATTTACTCTTGAGAAAAATGTGTGTTCTTTTTATTTTATGCTTTTTTCCCCTTTTTCTCCTCCAGTATTTACAATCGAATGGTAACAATTGGCGTTGGTTTGATGACAGATCAGGCCGCTGGTGCAGCTACAGTGCAAGCAACAACAGTACCATTGACACTGCATGGAAAGCTGGAGAAACATGCGTGCGCTTCACTGCCGGCCGTCGGAGATACACTGTTCAGTTTACCACCATGGTGCAGGTGATTGTCTACCACACTGTCAATGATGTCATTACAGCAATGCGTGAGAACATCCATTGTATAGCGCTGACTACTGCTGTAAATACAGTTTTATTCACAACTTTTCTTAATGGCTGCCTTCTGCTACAACTTTGTCATGTTTCATAAAGATTTGATATTGGCACACAAATGGTGGCGTTAATGGCTGTTCCCAGTTATATTAGCTGTAGACATTAGGCAGATGGTATCCTGATACATGTAACTACTGTTCTTATAAGAATACAGACTGGATTTGGTTAATTACTCTATCTAAATATGAGATTTAAAAAAAAAATAAAAAATTTTTTTTGCCCTGTTCTTTGCAGACTGTTAATCCACTTGCTAAATCAAACACTCCCTCCAATATGAGGCAGTACTTGGATTCTGTGTTGCATCGTGTGGTCCCTAATTCTATTTTGGCTCCCACAGGTAAATGAGGAAACTGGAAATAGACGGCCTGTAATGCTAACCTTACTGCGTGTCCCGAGGTTGCTCAAGGGTGGAAAGAATGGAAATGGGCAAGAACTGGAAAAGACATTAGAGGAAGGAAAAGAAATGGAGACAAAACCAAAGGAAGACAGCGTTTCTGGTAAAAATTGTCACCACATGTTTAAAATGCCATTCAACAAATGTTTCTCTACAATATTTAACATCTTTCTTTATTTTAATAATGAGAGGTTACATCGTTTCAAAACTGGCATCATGCAACAGTACAGCTGTCTTTATTTTGTGCAAATGTTGTCAGGAGGGGGTTAAAAACTGCCAAGTAAGGGCAAAATACATTTTTATTACATTTTAGGGTAGAAAACTAGAGAGTTTTAGAGGGTAGAAAACCAGTAAAATGAATCAGCTTTCATGCTTAAGCCTGGGATGTTTGCTAAGTGAAGCAAAGGTAAAAGTAGAAAGTATTCAAGTGGTGAATATATTTAATGTTGGGTTTCCATTACATCCATAGTTCAGACGTGTTTGAATTTGCGGTCACTCCTTTCTTCAAAGAAATGTTCATTGGCTTATTCACTAAATTAAGAATTCTTATATATTTTTTTTCTCTCTGATATTTACTGCATACTTTTGTTGTAGAGTCCACTCCAGCATCAGAAACCACTCCCACAGAAAAGGAATCCCCTGTTGAAGAGCCAAAAGTTGGGGATATTGTTATCCAGGGACTGACTGAAGAGATGGTGACTGTCTTGATTCGTTCATGTGTCAGCATGTTGGGCGTTCCTGTGGATCCTGATACATTACATGCAACTTTGCGGTTGTGCCTACGTCTTACCCGTGACCACAAGTATGCCATGATGTTTGCAGAGCTGAAAAGCACACGCATGATCCTTAGCTTGAACCAAACTTCTGCATTCAATGGGTTTACTCCGCTCGTCACTCTTCTCTTCCGACACATAATAGAGGATCCGTGCACTTTGCAGCACACAATGGAAAAGGTACATCCCTTTGCTTACAGACAAAATGACAAAGCCCAGTTCTCTCTTAATATTGTTAACATTTCCAGTGCACTATGGTAATCCTGCTGCTGTATTTACAGAACTCTGGGGCAACCTATAACTTAAAGGATATTAAGATTTATTATTTAAATTAACCTTAATTTAGTTCTTCTCTTGTCTGTTCACAAAGTAGCAGTTACTAAAAAAACTTTCTCATTTCTGCTCTGTAGTATTTAATGTCTGTATTCCCTTCTGATTTCACCTCAGTTTGGATGATCGAAGTCTAAACATTTTAATCTCGTAATTACCTTTAATAAAAATTATATCCCCTACCTCCTCTAGACTGTGAGCTCGTTTAAGCAGGGTCCTCATCTATCCATTGTTCCTGTAGCATTTTGTAATTGTCTCTAATATTGTGAAGCTCTGCAGAATAAGTTGGCGCTATTATAAATACCAGTAATATTAATCCCTGTCCTCCATTTCAGTTAAGTTCTTGACATATTCAGTTTGCCCATTTCCCATGCCTAGACTGAAACCCTGTCTGTAGACATGTCTGTGTTTCTCTTGGTTTGAATACCTTATACACATTTTCATATATTTTAATTTCTTCAAACAAGTGTGAAAAAACTAATAAAAATTTAGCACTTCTTGCATCCATCTTCATTCAAGCAATTGGTCTTGAGATAATGCCCTACATGATTTGCTACCAGTAGTGATGTCCCAAACTGTTCGCGAACGGTTCGCCGCGGACTCATCATTGAGTAAACTTTGACCCTGTACCTCAGTCAGCAGACACATTTCAGCCAATCAGCAGCAGACCCTCCCACATCCTGGACAGCTCACTAAGAATGCAGCTTCACAATGAATTTAAAATGGATGCTGTCCAGGAGGTGGGAAGGTCTGGGAGGGAGGGTCTGTTGCTGATTGGCTGGAATGTGTCTGCTGACTGTGAGGTACAGGGTCAAAGTTTACTCAATGATGAGTCCGCGGCGAACCGTTCAGGACAGTCTCTGGTGCAACCTATCTTTTCTCTGCATTTTCCATCCCTACCATTAGTTGTTCCTGTAGGTACAAAGCTGGCTTAGTATAAGCAAAGCTAAATGGGTAGATAGAGCTAGAAGTCCCTTCTTTTTTAGGGTGTCTATAAATTGCCAAGTACCTTGACCTAGCAATATGCGGGTATTAAGTTTAGAAACTAATAGGAAAGCATTCATGTATTTTTGCCATCCACATGGGAGAACTGAGAGAACAAGAAAGGCATACATTTGCCAGCCACCTTTTTATATGTGGTTTCTCTGGATGGCATACATTTTTTTTTGTGGTTAATAAATTCAGTTCAAATAATCACCAAGTGCTTATTTATCACCATGCTGTCTTGCAAATCAATGGCGTATAGTAATTGAAACTTTCTCTCCTTTAAAAAAAAAAAAAATCTTGTTTAATCCAATAGTTTTGAAATTGTTGAATAATCTGGTAGTGTTAAACCATTCTTAGCACTTTTCATAGATCTTTAACCTTGTGTTTCTTTTGGTTTTTTTAGGTTGTGCGTTCTGCAGCCACCAGTGGGGCTGGAAGCACCACATCTGGTGTAGTATCTGGAAGCTTAGGTTCTCGAGAGATAAATTACATTCTTCGAGTTCTGGGCCCAGCTGCTTGTCGAAATCCAGATATTTTCACAGAGGTGGCAAATAACTGTATACGAATAGCTCTGCCTGCACCCAGAGGATCTGGAACAGGTGAGCAGCTAAATCTTTATCACTATTGTGTGTTTATTTCCGTATTCCGTATTAGTCCAGTAGACCAGATGCCAAAATACCAGAGTATTGCAGTATGCAATGCTACCTTTTTACTAAGCTAGTTGAGAAAAAAAAAAAACTCAATCAAGAAAACAGTAGAGCAGGGCATGCAAGTATATAGCTGCATATATGTATGTATATAAATTAATCCAATAAAGGTGAAGCGAGAATATAGCAAAACTACTTGTAATGTAGATTCCTGCTTTCTCACATACTACCAAAACTTTTTTTTTTTTTCTTTTGTCTTTTCAACTAGCTTATTGGCTCTCCTCTGTTTTATTTACTCTTTCTGGCTATTCTCAGCCAACATGCACTTTTCACTTTCAGGCACATCTTCTGCTATTTATGACACCCACTCACCCCCACCCCTCCCCTCACCTTATCTAACATCAGTTGTTTTAAGTGTTAAACTATATCAGATTGATTAGTATTGCTTCAGACAACGTGTAAGAGAGGAAACTCTCAAAAGCTTGTCTTTGAAATATGTTGGTCCAATAAAAAGGTATCGTTGCATACTCTGGTAAAATAAATATATATTATATTATATTATATTTTATATTATATTATATATTCTATTATATTATATCCTATTATATTCCTGAAAAGGATTGAAACGTTGATCCTACTTGATCTCACTTTTTAATCTTGCTAATAAAGAATATATTTTATTGAAGACTGTGGGGGAAAAAAAATAAAAATGTGTGTGTGTATTCTCTCTCTTATCATGTATTTATAGCTACCCCCAGTACAGATTTGTACATGTGCACATGTCTGGAAGTATGGATCTGGCCAGCAAATAATTGACTCCTGACAATTTTTATTTTATAAAAGTATTAATCGCTGCATTTTTTTAACCAGCCTAGAAGTTGAGACCAGCCCTGTCTTGTATTTACTACTTGCTTTACTTTCAGCCTCTGATGATGAGTTTGAAAACCTTCGCATTAAGGGTCCTAATGCTGTCCAGCTAGTAAAGACAACACCTGTAAAGCCCTCTACTCTTCCAGTCATCCCTGAGACTATTAAGGATGTGATCTACGACATGCTGAATGCATTGGCTGCCTACCATGCTCCAGAGGAAGGTAACTAATTTATTATGCTACGTGTCATGCCCTACTTGATTAGAGATCTTGCTGAATCTATAAAACATCAGGATAATGCCCCTTCCTTTCTAAGTTGCAGAAAAGACTGAGCCGAAGCCCGTGGCTATGAATCAAGAAGTCAGTCAGATCTTGCAGGACATGGGTGATGAGGTTTTCCAGCAATACCGTGATCTGACCCGGCAGGGCAGTGATTTCGATGCTCAGAGCAGCTTTGCCCTGAATGTAAGGCTTTATTTTTATTTATTTTCTGATACTGCAGAAATGGTTCACATTGAATGCTGGAAACATATTGATAATTTTCTAAACAGTATTAAAATGTAAACGGCTTTTGTCCCATTTTTTTTTCTAATTCTTTATTTTTGTTGTGCAAAAAGATTAACAATCATGCTTGCTATGCCACAACGGCAGACATAAACATTTCAAGAAACATTAGTATGTCATGTAATTGATAACTGCACTTTTTAATTTTTTTCTCACAAGTTAAGTTACGCATTCAAGCTTACTATTACATGTCAAATGGAAGTAAACGCTGTAGGTACTGTCGCATGGTTGCTACCTGACATGTGAAAAGACTTTCACATTTTATGGTATGTAAAGTAATAGAAAAACATGGCTAATGACAGACTTGGGTACTGCAGGCTTCATATGAATTTTTAACTAAAAACGCATGAGGAGAAACACATGAGAAGATCCACCAGGTTGTTATGGGAAAGGTGTTAAAATTAGTGTGGTGGCCACTGGGACTCTTCAATGTAATGTCGTTACAACTAAATGCCTGTGGCAAATTGGGAAGCATGTGACAGGAATCACAGACAAAAAAACAGAATAAACTGAATAACATTCTTGGTTAGTGTGGGGCACTTGCAGATTATTTGCTTAGGGAAAGGCAGTTCATCTACTTAGGCGATGCCACAAGCAGGCTTCTTCTGGGAGCCGATTCTGCACTTCTCCATGGTTTGCTTGGTGTTTCTGCTCCAGCATCCTGTCTGTGTCAAGAGGCCCTCGGGTGCATGAAAAATTGTATTTTTGTGTGGATCAATCGAGCGGCGTTCCATCATCCGCTCTGCCAGCCGAACCCGGGTCGGACAACGAGCCGGTGCCTGGGAACCACCAGCCCCTCCAGCTCCCTTGAAAGGGTTAACGTCCGGGGGTTCTCCATACCACAGGCAGTTTCCCCCTTGTGTGGCTGCTTGATGGGCACCGTGCCCATTGTGACTCCTGGCCCAGGGGGTACGGTGGGTGCCGAGGGTACGGTGAGTATCTGTTCTGCTTGACGGGCCTCCAGTCGGCTCCAAAATGCTGCGCGGATCGCATCAAAGGTAGCAGTAAATTTGGCTTCCCAGCTGCTCCCTGAGTGTGTGGTTGTTGTGGCAGCCATTTTAACAGCGCCATTCAGTCGTGCTCTGTCCCAGTAGCTTTTAGCTGTATCGCCACAAGGTCAGCTGCTGCTTTTTCCCTGGTGGGGACCGGGATAACCCCCACCGGTCCAAAGGGGGGGGTGAACGGGGCAACCTCTTCAGTTATTGCAGAAGGTCCAGGAGGGAGAATGGCCGCTTCTCCTCCTCAAGGCCCGCCTCAAGCTTGTAGGCCCAAATTTAATTTAGAGCCGCAGGTCGATAATAAAGGCTCCAGACTCTCACAAGAAAGCTCCCCTGCATACCGGAACAGATATTGAACTGATTGGTGGTCGTTTGGGGCAATAATCCCACTGTAAAGGTTTGGATTACAAGATTTTTGTGAGGCGCTCACTTTCAGCACGTCTGGCTGCCTTGCTGGTCAGGCCCTGCCCCCTCTTGTCCCATTTTTGAGAACCATTTAAATGCACCGTGGCCAGTTCATTTCAATGTAGTGCTGTGGGTGCAGTGGCAATATAATTTAAACCCTGCAATGCAAAACGTTACTGTTTTATAGAAACTACAATGTTTTACATTGCAGACTAAAACACACTTCTCGTGGTTGTCTTCCAGACCAAATTAATTCAGTGTTTTCCTATGAAAAGCAATTAAAGGGACACTGTAGGCACCCAGACCACTTCAGCTAATTGAAGTTGTCTGGGTGCTGCCCGTATTGCACTTAGTGCTGCAATGTAAAACATTGCAATTAATTCCAGAGAATTAAACCTATAGTGCCAGGAAAACGGGTTTGTTTTCCTGCCACCATTTGATCCCTTTAATTGGATGTGTGCGGCACTCGCCAGACATGCATCGGTCACAATAATCCTCGGGGAATGACACATTTCAGATGACTTTGTGGTTGGGGTGCAGGCAGTAGCCTGCTGAGGTAGTCTAACTCTGGATTAGGGGACTATATCGTTGGGAATACAGGTTTGTATTTCTAGTGTTCCTTTCATTATTTTTTTTAGAGGGAAAAAAAATCATTTTCTTTCACTTGTTGTATAAGTATAAGTGGGTTAATCTGAAAAGAGCAGACATTAGGCTGTTAGTATAGGACCTGCCAAAGATGGGGTACATTGACGTTGTGGCAGGCTTATGCAATGTATGATCATATAATGTAACTAAACCCCCATTATCTTTGCCTAGATTAGGTGTTTAAAAAAAAAAATACTAATAAAATCTGTCAACATTGAAGTTGCTGTTTAGTGGATAGATGAGTGTGCTGGATCTTGTGTATTGTATAAATTGGCCCCCATCAGCACCCCATTTATGCATGTTCAGGTGAGTGCAGCCCCCTGGTTTAGTGTGTATATCTATATATGTGTATATATAATTATACACACACGCACACACCTTTGTTTTGATACTAGCCATTAATTTTAAATACATTGGGCACTAAATTTCGCTTTGCTTAAACCTTTCCAAAATGTATTGATGCTAAATGTTTCTTCATAGGCACGTGTGTTTACAGCAGACAGTACATCCACTGAGACTCCCCAATCTGGAACACCACAAGGAGAAGGTGTGTCCTAATTATAAAGTTTTTTTTTTGCTTTTAAATCCAATTACGTATGATTTGCTTATACTTTCGCTGCAATTATTTGTCAGAAATGGCAACAAAAAGATATTTTCTGGTCTTATTTCGGCTTTTAATTTCTATAGGCCCAAACTTTCTCCGACAATAATATTCCCCAAACTCGTTTATTCTGATGGCTAAAATAACAGTTTCAGGTTAATTGTCTGAATGAAAGATCAAATGGCTCTTTTTTTATTTATTTTTTAGCAGCATTAACTCCTGAGGAAAATAGAGAAGGAGGAAAGAAGGATAAGGAATCTGAGCGAATTTCGGAGGAGGGGAGATTAAAGGCAAGAGCCAGTAAACCTTTGCTTCCTACTTCTACCATCCTCAGATTATTGGCTGAGCTGGTCAGGTCCTATGTGGGTATTGCCACTCTCATTGCCAACTACAATTACACTGCAGGACAGTCAGAGCTTATTAAAGAGGTAAGTTGAAAATAAACCGTTTATGTACTCTGCTGATGGTGGAATTTCCAGACTCAGCTGATTGTTTTGCATTGACAGGATTGCAGTGTGCTGGCATTTGTTTTGGACCACCTCTTACCACACACTCAGAATGCTGAGGACAAGGACACACCAGCTCTTGCCCGTCTGTTCCTGGCTAGCCTTGCTGCAGCGGGAAGTGGCACTGATGCACAGGTGGCACTTGTGAATGAGGTGAAAGCAGCTCTTGGCAGAGCATTGGCTATGGCTGAGAGCACAGAGAAACATGCCAGGTGGGAATTGTGTGTGTCGTAAGTCTCTAATCTGCTTATTCAAAGGTTATGGAATCTTTTGTTATAGCTGATCTAAACCAGTTTATGTTGGTATGGGTGTAATGGTTTCTTTATAATTTAACTTAAAAGAAAAAAAGTATTTCTCAAAATAACCAAAGTGTATGTATAAAACGGTCTTACTCTTGTTAAAAAAAAAAAATATATATAATGATCTAGATACAAGTATTTTACTATAGGTTGTGCTTGCCTGTTTGTATTTCAGATTGCAGGCGGTAATGTGCATTATAAGTACGATCATGGAGTCCTGTCCATCCACCTCTAGTTTCTATAGCACTGCAACCACCAAAACCCAGCACAACGGAATGAATAACATCATCCGACTCTTCCTCAAGAAGGGTCTCGTTAGCGATTTGGCTCGCGTGCCGCACAGCCTTGATCTGTCCAGGTAAAGCCCATTTTATCACATTACACTGAAGGTTAAATACAAAACTTGATAACTCTTAGGAAGTTACACAATTGAATGGACTTCGATGGAAGAGGAAAGAATATGGCCCGTCTGAGTGCCTCAATTGACATTTGGAGTACATTTATGTTTCTGATCTCTGACAGATTCAGTTTTTTTTTTTTTGTTTTTTTTAAAGGACCACTATAGTGCCAGGAAAACATACTCGTTTTCCTGGCACTATAGTGCCCTTAGGGTGCCCCCACCTTCAGGGTCCCACTCCCGCCCAGCTCTGGAAAGGGGAAAGGGGTAAAAAAGTACCTTTTTCCAGCGCTGGGCGGAGAGCTCTCCTCCTTCTCTCCTCCTCCGTTCCGCCCCGTCGGCTGAATGCGCACGCGCGACAAGAGCTGCGCGCATTCAGCCGGTCACATAGGAAAGCATTCATAATGCTTTCCTATGGACGCTGGCGTGCTCTCACTGTGAAAATCACAGTGAGAAGCACGCAAGCGCCTCTAGTGGCTGCCAATGAGACAGCCACTAGAGGAAATAGGGGAAGGCTTAACCCATTCATAAACATAGCAGTTTCTCTGAAACTGCTATGTTTATTAAAAAATGGGTTAACCCTAGCTGGACCAGGGACCCAGACCACTTCATTAAGCTGAAGTGGTCTGGGTGCCTAGAGTGGTCCTTTAAGTCTTTTTTTTCTTGTGCTGATATACATTTTATTCATATTTACCTATATTTTTTTTGTTTGTGTTTTTTTTTTTTCAGCCCAAACATGGCAAACACTGTAAATGCAGCACTCAAACCTCTGGAGACTCTGTCTCGTATTGTGAACCAGCCTAGCAGCCTGTTTGGAAACAAAGGGGCTTCAGGAAAGAACAAATCTGAGCAGGACACCCATGGAGCTACCAGAGACCCAAACAGTAACCAGCCAGACACAGGTACTTTAGGCAGGTGCAAGTCCTGTAAGAACACAACGTGTATGACTGAGTTGACACTTGTATGCCTGTGTTTGAAAACTGGTGTTGGGAATCTTCACCTTTTGAGTTGGTGGTCACTCCCTGTAAAAAAATAAATAAGTTAATTCTACAAATAGTGATTAATGTGAAGCGGAGTTGAATATAAGAACAAAAATAAATAAAAGTGGTAGACTCTTATTTTCGATTTGTTTCGTTGGGTTTTTCTCTATGTAGATTTTTTTTTTTTTTGGGGCACAACTTCCACTTTTAATATTTTCTTTACTTTGGTGGGCATAGAGGGTATTGCACCCATTTTATGTATTCTGCCCACATCATCTCTTCTTTTTAGTGCTTCCCCTTTGTGTTTACATTTAAATAAAATAACACCCTCCGTACCTTCAGGAATTTATTTCATGTTTAAATGTAAATTTGCCCATGTGCATATTGCTGGACTTGGCCTTTTAAGTTCTGTATTCTAAAGAGTCTAAATCAAATACTACACCTGCAACTGTCTACGTGCAAACATCCTTCAGTGCAGAAAATCAAGTAGCAGGCGGTGTTCATTTACCCCTGGTAGGGGGCAAAACACTTTACCCTCTACAGTTGCTTAACATTTGTTGTCATGCCATATATGTACACAGTCTAATTGCGACTATCTTTAGGTGAAGCCGGAGCTGAGGCTCAAGAGGAGGATCAAGATGCATCCCAAGCTGAAGTAAATGATGGGGACATTATGGATGGGGAGACAGAGACTGACACTGTGGTTATTGCAGGGCAACCCGAAGTCCTCAGCAATCAGGAGATGCAGGTGTGACGATTTTGCCACTAGAATGTTCGGTGACAAAACAAACTGAGCCTTGTATGAAAAAACTTTGAGTCTACACTATTAAGTCATAAAGTGGTTCTATAGTTGAGGTGGATTATCAACTAATTTATTCCAACTATAGGTTGGATGTTAGGTGGCAAAAATCCCTGATCTGCTATGGTCCACGACACTAAACATGATTAAAAACTGCATCCTAAGAGGTCACTCGCATTTTATTCCTGGTGATCAGTTATCATTTTTATGTACCAGCTTTGTAAAAAGAATCAGTGGAATCATTTTGTTCTCTTCCTTTCCTAGTGCCCCCTTATTATAGACCCATGGTAACTTGACTGATTGAAGTGTAACACAGCTTTCTCAACCTCTCATTTAATACAGCTCTTAAACAGATGGCTGATATTCCCTTAAGATATATGGGAGTAGTAGCTAAAAAGCCTCTTGGGAGACATAGTAGTGACACCACAGCTCTCCAGTGGGTTTATTTTCTAACTTGCACACTTCTTGTTGGTCAGGTGGAAAACGAACTTGAAGATTTGATAGATGAGCTCCTAGAGAGGGATGGCGCTGCAGGTAAGTCCTTTGTCATGGTCTAGTAGTGTTTATTTTATTTTTTTAATAGGTTTAGATATATTTTGTGAGCTCAAATCTGTTTTTATTTTTAGTGAACAGAGTTGGGGAAGATGAATCTCAAGAGGATGTGTTGATGGATGAAGCTCCAACCAACCTCAGTCAAGCTTCTACCCTTCAGGCAAACAGAGAAGGTAATAAACTAAGGTGACATTTGACTATTTAGTATGACCTGCTCTGTCACTACTTTTATGGTAGACTTATTTTCCTTTTTATTGAAGCAAGTTAGTTTATACTATCGGTTAACTTCTAGTAGTAATCTTCTTGATAATGTAATCTGGAATATATTCTGTGAGCAAATGTTTTTTCCATGTTGTAATATGTAAGGCTTGTTTGTTAAATTGGGAGATGGGTGTTGAGGGCTGTTTCCACCTCTTAAAGGGACACTCCAGGCACCAAAACAGCTTCATCTTGATGGTAAACGATGCCACCAGGCAGGGGCACTGCTGATTTGTTGAGAGAAGACAGCTGACACTTTCAGCCAGTCAGTGACTCACCATTCACAAAACTGACTTGAGACTGGTACATTTTTTTCCAAGGCAGTTTAGTGAATGGGGAGTCACTGATTGGCTGTTCGAGAACGGTTTAACCTCTTGAGGTAAGAGCGCCTCCTGGCACCATAACAAATAAATGTAAATGAAGTTGACTTGGTGCTTAGTGTCCCTTTAAGGTCAAATATTGAAGATTTTCCTACATACTGTCTTTTTTTTCTTTTTTTCTTTTTTTTTTTTGCGGCTGTGTCCTCTTATAAGGTTTTAAATACCGTATTTATCGGCGTATAACACGCACCGGTGTATAACACTCACCTCAATTTAAGAAAGAAATTTCAGGAAAAAAAAACCTTAAATTTCAAATAAAGAACTTCTTACCCCCCTTTCTTACTCCCACCTCCCCCTCTTCTTACTTCCTCCTCCCCCTACCTCCCTCCCCTCTCTTCTTACTTCCCCCTCTTACCCCCTTCTTACTCCCCCCTCCCCCTCTTCTTACCCCCCTTTCTTACCCCCCTTTCCTTTCCCCTCTACCCCTTTCTTACTTCCCCTCTTACCCCCTTCTTACTCCCCCTCCCCCTTCTTACCCCCCTTCTTACTCCCGCCTCCTCCTGTTTCTGTTTCCTGTACCCGGTCGGACTGACAGGAAGGTGCACACTGAGCGTGCACCTTCCTATCCTCTGGCCGGCCACCGCGGACAGCAGAGCAGCTCGGCCACGCTGCAGGAGAGGTGAGAACCAACTGCAGCCGCCTGACCGCTCTTGACAGAGCGCTCAGGCGGCTGCAGCATTTAAAGGGCTGGCGTATAACACGCACCCATAATTTGCCCCCTATTTTCAGGGAGAAAAAGTGCATGTTATACGCCGATAAATATGGTACATATATTTAAAAAAAAACAAATGGGCAAGTGATTATCAGGCTGGTTTATTGTTTCAGTAAACAAGAGAAAGAGTGAGTGTCCTTAAAATATAACTTTTAATGGTAATTCTAAAATATAATCAACATTTCCTAAATAGGAATAATATAGTGATAAACTAAGGTACACACTAATATTCACAAGTATAATAATAAACCGAGGTATATACATATTCTAGTTGGTAACTTATAAATAGGAAAATATGTGAAGACGCCCTGTGACAACTACCAGCCATTGTGGTCTGCAAAAACGATTCTGTGCAGATACCACTTGATAGGGCTTTCTTTAATAGCCAGTGTTAACCACCAGCCACTGTGGTCTGCACAAACTATTCTGTGCAGATACTATTTGATAAGGCTTCTAAATACTTTGCCCTGTACCCTACCTATTTGAGGCTTACAGGGTGTCTTCACATATTTTCCTATTGATAAGTTACCAACTAGAATATTATATACCTCGGTTTATTATACTTGAGAATATTAGTATGTATATACCTTAGTTTATCGCTATATTATTCCTATTTAGGAAATATTGATTAGATTTTAGAATTACCATTAAGTTATATTTAAAGGACACTCACTCTTTCTGTTGTTTACTTCTCCAATCCTTGGGTTAACCCCAATACGAGTGTTCCTCAGGCTTCCTCTTTCCCGTTTGGTTTGTTTGGTTGTTTGGTTTGTTGTTTCCTACCATTTATAGCTGCATTCAGAGAGTGATGCCATGCAAAATGTTTCATCTGACAGATTCTATGAATATCCTAGACCCAGAGGATGAGGAGGAGCACACACAGGAGGAAGACAGCAGTGGCAGTAATGAAGATGAAGATGACAGTCAAGAGGAGGAGGAGGAAGAAGAGGAAGATGAAGATGACCAGGTATTGCTACAATTTTCATAATGCTCATTGTTTTTCCCTAGTAAACTGTAAGGCGTTAAAGGGATCCTATAGTGCCAGGAAAACAAAAGCTGTTTTATTGACAACAGCCTTCTGTGTCAATGCCGATCTGATTGTCTCATTCACGTATGAGAAAAGCCTGCACAATAAGGGTAAACTTGTGATTCCTGAAGTGACATTGGATTGCTCCATTCTGTTCCACCTCTTTAAAATCAGTCCGCAATATCCAAAACTGAAGCCAATCTCTTTACTCTACTTATTTTTATTTAATACTAAATTTATGCCTGTGGCAACCTATCTACTTCCCCTTTTAGGATGATGAGGAAGGTGAAGAAGGAGATGAGGATGACGATGATGATTGCTCAGAGATGGAGCTCGATGAGGATTACCCAGACATGAATGCTTCTCCTCTTGTACGCTTTGAGCGCTTTGATCGGGAGGATGATCTCATCATAGAGTTCGATAGCATGTTCTCCAGTGCCAGTAAGCTACATGGAAATCTGATACATTTGCAGAGCACACTGCATTACGAGGGCATATACCTCATGAAACTTTTGCAAATTAACCTCCAGCTAAGACTGTAGGATCAAGAGTTGCAAGCGAGGAGGTTAAATAAACACCAAAAACCACGTATAAGAAGTGTCACAATGCAATGAAGCATCTATATGTGACTTAGTGCCTTTATCTCATAACCTTAACATACCTATGGCCTTTTTCAGCTAGTTGGCATAGAAAAACACTGCTCAAATGTCAGCATCTCCTGAGCACTGTATGTGATGTAACTTTTTGCATTTTTTGCTGATTTTGACTTTGTAGAGTTTTTGGGAGTGTGTGTGTGTGTGTGGTTTAACTTTAAACTGCTAAAGATACTTTTTACAACTACCAATTCTCCATTCCTGCAGCTGATATACCTCCTTCTCCTGGTAACATCCCTGCAACGCATCCTCTAATGGTGCGCCATGCAGACCACAGTGCCCTCACCCTTGGCACCGGTACATCTACAACGCGTCTTGCACAGGGCATTGGAAGAAGCCAGCGAACACTTCGACAACTTACAGCTAATACTGGGCATACTATACATGTTCACTACCCTGGCAACAGGCAGCCAAACCCACCTTTAATCCTACAGAGGTGAGCTGAGTAACCAAACATTTACATATTGACATAGTTACATTGCTGAAAAGAGACTTGCGTCCATCAAGTTCAGCCTTCCTCACATATGTTTTTGCTGTTGATCCAAAAGAATGCAAAAAACCTAGTCTGAAGCACTTCCAATTTTGCAACAAACTAGGAAGACATTCCTTCTTGACCCCAATATGGCAGTCAGATTTCTCTTTGGATCAAGCAGCTATTACCCCACTTGCTAGTGTAACATTTGGTTTCATGGAGGGGTGCTTGAAGAAAATGCCTTTGGGGGATATTTATCCATCTTTTGAGAAGTATATGGTTAAAGTGACACTATAGTCCCCAAAAGAACTAGTAAGCTTAATGAAGCCATTTTGATGTGTATATATCACGCCTCTGCAGTCTCACTGCTCAGTTCTCTGCCATTTAGGAGTTAAATTACGTTGTTCATGCAGCCCTGGTCACACTTCCATGAATGTGACTTAAACAGCCATCCTAAACGCTTCCTGTATAGAGTCATCTATACACTTTATTTTAAATTCTGTTTAATTTAGCATTTATCTCCTGCACTGTACGAAGCTTGCTATATACCCTGCAAGAGTCTTCTGTGTGTAATTAACATTCAATTTACAGAGCAGGAGATAAATACTCATTGCTCCTGTGAAAAAATTGCATCGATTTTCTCCAAAATCCACTGAAGTCTTTGATCTCCCTTAAAGTGTTGAAAGTTACGATGTCAATATAGTCTGCTGTTAAATTTTAAAACATATTTCATGTCCCCTTCAGGTTGCTTGGCCCCTCAGCTGCCGCTGATATCCTGCAGCTGAGTAGTAGTCTTCCTCTGCAGAGTCGTGGTCGGGCACGTCTCCTGGTAGGCAATGACGATGTCCACATCATTGCTCGGTCAGACGATGAGTTGCTGGATGATTTCTTCCATGACCAGAGCACAGCCACTAGTCAGGCTGGTAAGTAATTACAGATGTCCAACATTAACAGGCATTATTTGCTATGCTCTTCTTTTAAAGCAACTTACCAGAAAATTATTTGATTGGACTGATAAGCCCTCTAATATTTACAGGTACTTATCTGTGCTGCTTGGATGCTTTGGTCTCTGTGGTTCTTAAGTCACTGCTCCAATGTGAATAAAATGTCCATTTATTTGTGCACTTTCACTTAACTCAAACTTAAAGGACCACTATAGTGCCCTGAGGGTGCCCCCACCCTCAGGGACCCCCTCCCAACCGGCTCTGGGGAGAGGAAAGGGTTAAATCTTACCTTTTTTCCAGCGCCGGGCGGGGAGCTCTCCTTCTCTCCTCCCCTTCGGCTGAATGCGCACGCGCGGCACGAGCTGCGCGCGCATTCAGCCAGTCTCATAGGAAAGAATTTATAATTACAGATGTCCCAGACCACTTCATTAAGCTGAAGTGGTCTGGGTGCCTAGAGTGGTCCTTTAAACCAGAATCTGTAGTGGAATCTCTTCATAGGCTGTAAATGCATTACATTATCTGTCACAATCTGGTTATTTTCCTTTTTATGGCATCTCCTTGGTATAGTAAATGTGTACTAATTCTTCTGGTGTAACATTAAATTATTTTTCTGTACAGGCACTCTTTCCAGTATCCCAACTGCACTGACTCGTTGGACAGAAGAATGTAAAGTTTTAGATGCTGAGAGCATGCATGACTGTGTGTCAGGTAATAAAAACCAAGGCCATTGTTGACTAACCTCTGTTTTATTGTTACCATAGCTGAAAGACTTGGCCTGCAACACGTGTAGGATTAAAGGTTTACCGAGATATTACTATACTACTCTATATATTCTATACATGTTCATATAGCATCTTTGATACAATACATTCCTACTTTTCCACTGGCTGTTTAGGTTGTGCAATATTACACTTGTGCATTTATTTACAGAAACCTATGCAATTCCATTTTAAAATTCAAAAGTATAATGACCCATTGTAAATAAGAGCAGGGCCTAAAGCTTCAAGTCCTACGCAACTAGCCAGACCTTATGTTCTTCACAAATGCAAGCCTGGGAGGGTACATAACACATTCACCATGGCTGAATTTCTACTCCATAGCATGAACAATTTTTTTTTTTTTTTTTTTTTTTTAAACTTGTTAATGGCTAGTGATAATTTTGAGCCCTGAGTATAAAAAAGTTAAATGGTAGTGATCCTTGTATGTGTCATTGTTCCAGTTGTTAAAGTCCCCATAATAAACCACTTGGAGTCTCTGCGGGATGAGGAACTTGAGGAGCGACGGGAAAAACGGCGTAAGCAGCTGGCAGAAGAAGATGCTAAGATGACAGAGAAGGCGAAGGAAGAGAAGGAATCCAAAGAGCAAAATCCACAGGTGCCATGGGTTGGGTTTTTATTTTTCGGTTTCAAGTTTGCTTTGTGGCAAGTTTCAGTAATAGAGTATGTGTAGTGTGAGGGTGTGGGACACAAGTTCTAGGGTTCCCTGGGGGCTTAAAATAAAAAAAAATCAATTTGTAATTTGCTTTTGGGCCTTTGTATGTTCTTTTGTTTGTCTTGTGTGCTATGGGCATCACTATGATTCTATGATACAGTATAACATTCTTAAATATCGACTCCCCTTTAATATTACGGTCTCTTCTTACAGGGTGCCAATTCCAAGCGAAGCACACCATTCGAGTTGAGCCTTGCAGGTATTTCAGGCATTTTCAGACCTTTTTGCTTGGTTTTTCACAGGTCAACAGCAAACCGAATTCAAAAATGCTTTGGGTTGAGGTAGTAGATTGTATAGTTTTGGGGTCACACCCGATCTGGGAGATAACTATACAGTTTACTGTCTTTCCTGCGGTATTGCTTCGCTGCTTGAACAAGAACACCTCTGGAGCAAAAACACAAAGCGCTAAGAATGTTGAAATTGTATTGGATCTTCAAGCATTTAACTAATATTTACAGTTATGTAAATGCCCATGTATGCATTACATTTCCTCAACAGGTATTTTTCATTATTGACCACAGTGTTGATGAAGCAAAGATTCCCCTTTTCTGTGTTCTGCCCACTTCAGGGTGAGGTAGTAAGTTGTATTGTTGTAAGGGGGTAGAGATTTTGCCCCCAATTTGGAGATAACTATACAGCTTACTGCCTTCCCAGCGGTGTGGTTGATTGATCACTGTAACTTATTATTCCAAACCGTAATGTTGTATGAGCTTGCTACTTGTTTAAAACTTGTATTCCATATCTTTATACATCCTCCTGTTTACATTTCTCTTCTGTTTACACCCTAGAGCAAGATGCTAGTGGGAATCCTGAGAACTTCCCTACTGCTCCTTCATCTGCTGAGGGAACCCCTACAAGCCCTGAACTGGTTCCCCTTGATCCAACTCTAAGATCTCATCCCCCTGAGGCCTCGTTGGCTGAGCTGCCTCAAAGTTTGCAGATCGAGTCAGGAGCAGATGATGGGCAGTTGTTAATGCCAACTGATCAAGAGGAGTCTGAGCCAGGAAGACCTAATATAGAAGGGGATGCTACTCAAATGGAACTCTCTCCAGCCCCTACCATCAGTCAGTGATTTTCTTTCATATGTGTTATAAACTTTTTAAAAAATGTGCTCAGATATACAATCTCAGACCCCCATACTAGATATGTGATCCCGAAATCTGGGGACTTTTATTTCTTTTTACAACTTCTATAATTTACTTATGTGCATGTGATAGGCAAAACATTTTGTGTTTGTTTTTTTGTTTGTTTGTTTTTTCACGATTTGTTGCATTGGTACGTCTTTTAAGTGTAAGTGGGGTATGACACCTGTACTAAAGGCTCACAATAGACACGTTTCTTTATGCAAATATACAGGGTTATTCTTTAAATGAAGAATTGCTGGGAATACAAAGTTTATACAAAATTGTAGACCAATATAATCGAACTCAAAACATAGCTGATATAGAGAATCTTTTCAGTTCTATTTTGGCCTTAAAATTAATCTTAACTTTGTATTTCCCTACCCCAATAAAGGAGGCGATAATGGACTTGCATGTAGCAAAATGGCTTGGGTCATGCTTTATGCCAGCTTATGTTGTCCATATTTATAATCCGCAAATCTAGAGAGAGCCCATTTATCGCTAATTGGGTTGGATGTTCTAGATAGGGATTGAGTGGCTAGCAATTTATGTGAAATCCAATCTTCTCCCTATTCATTGTTTTCTTTGATTATTTTAAATGATACACTTTGTACTTTTTATCTTCCCAATATTGAAGGTGTAAATATTTTAACCACCATAACTAAATTATGACATTTATGGCTACAATAACACAAGCATTTTCTCTAACACGTTTTCTTTACCCATCAGCTTCTTTGTCACCAGAGAGAGCAGAGGATTCGGATGCTTTGACTGCTGTTAGCAGCCAGCTGGAGGGCTCCCCAATGGACACTAGTAGCCTCGCCTCAGGGCCCCTTGAGGAAGGGGTTGGGGAAGCATCTGGTGTTGTAAATCCAGAGCAGTCACTTGTGAGCAGTAGTATTGCTGTTGGCCAGCAGCCAGTGGAACCACCACTTTCAAGTGGCAGTCAAGTAGTAGTCTCTCAACACAGTAATGACAGGTATGCTATAAAGAGTTAATTAGACAAAGCAATTCACTTATGATACAGTCTCGACGGTTGCCATGTACAAGTAGGTGATTTCTGTTAAAATTATGCAGTTGCTAGTTCCATTGGAAGAGCAAGATAAACCTCCAGAGTCCAAATAGCCATGTCTGCTAAAGCCTTGCTGCTTTTTTTTGCAGTAGAAAACACAGCCCGTCTGTTTTCTGTGAATTGGTTTAGACCAGAAGAGCTTTATCCAACCACAGTAGAGCATATAGTTAACTGGATATCTCCTGCCCAGCTACAGCAATTCCTGTGACATTTCTTGTAATGGTTCTTTATCTCAAACTACAAACGTTCTCCTTATTGCAACCTTCTTTTTAGATTTCTTTTGCCAGCCTAACTACACATACATTTACTTTCTTCAAAATCGTAGTGTTGTCATATTTGGAAATTGCCAGAGTCCAACTATTGCTGCATCCACTGCACAACAGAATACTGACGACTTTAAAGCTTTTTAAAGTTATGAAGTGAGGTGTATATTGAAAATGTTCGATCAGTATTGCTGGAGATCACCACATAACTGATATTGCAATCCAAACATTTTTTTCAACATTTATTTTTCTTCTAGCTCTCCATCAGCTTCTTCTTCTGAATTGCCTTCTGCAAGAGATTCTACTGTAGCTTTGTTGGCAACAGACTCGAGTGGCATTCTTGAGGAACCCCTGCCCTCCACAAGTAGTGAAGAAGAAGATCCATTAGCAGGTGATTATATTACATAGTTCTTCAGCATTTGCCTGGTTATATAACTGTCAGCAGCACAACATTTAAATAGTTAAATAATCTGATGCAAATAATTATTATGCTTGTTTCTATGCCTATTACAAGAAGCAATCTGTAAAATGCATTTTCAGAGAATTGGTTTGCTAGTCTCTCAGTGATTCTTTCTACGCAGCATGTTGCAGTCCTACATGCATTTTTCTTTCAGGTATAAATCTTCCAGAAGGAGTAGACCCATCCTTCCTTGCAGCTCTTCCAGAAGATATCCGGAGAGAGGTGCTTCAGAACCAATTGGGCATCAGGCCGCCTGTGAGGCCTCCACCCACTGCAGCTCCAGTGATTCCACCACCTGTTTTGGGTAGTGCTGGAGTAACTGAAGTCAGTCCAGAGTTCTTGGCAGCATTACCACCAGCTATACAGGAAGAGGTACAATTAAGTGAATTTGGTATATGCTTAAAGGGGAGAAGAAAATATTTTTTACCTGGCAATAATCTTCCATAAAGTATCTCATGGCTGATTGTGCATCTTCTCCCAGCGAGTTAATGGCAAAATAAAGTTAACATTTTTAAGGCAGTTCAGAAACACTTGGAGCTTTCTATTAACATTTGGCAAGTGCTTTCTTGTGGTATCTTAAATTGTTTAGCATTTTTATAGAATTTGTAGTCTAACTGAAATCTAGTCTCCTGTATAATCTCATTAGACACAGGTAATGTCATTCACTAAACCTGGAATAGCTCATTGACTTAAACCTTTTAGGGCAATGTAGTGGAATTGGAAAAATCCTTAGTGCGGCTGTTTGATCTTGCATGGATGGCAGGCGATATTAGAATAAATAAAATGGAACCACACAAACCGTTTTTTTTACTTTTCAGTGGGCTTGGCCTTGGTATTTATTCAAAGCTTTAAGGGGTTTACAACCATAATTTCTTAACCATATAACAAACTTTAACTTTTCAAAACTTTTAACTTTATTAAAAGCCAGTCAGTCTTAGTTGACCTGATCGCCTTTTCTTTAAAGCCTTTTACCACCATGTCCTTCCTCAGAACTTTACCCTGAGGGTGACTTTTGCCCTAGTGCTTCTTAACCCCACGACCCAACAATTAAATAAAATTAATCATCCGTGTTACCAATTCTGCCCAGATACCTGACTGACCAATTACCACAAAATTTAAAACTTCCCCACAGTCCAATCCCAGACAAGGATGATTAACTCCTTCATTGCCACCATACATATATGCCACTGTGCTTAATGCCTGTGGCTTTTACATAAAGCTAGGGATAAATTGAAATTTTAGCTACTTCAGACCATGTAGGTTTAGTAATGACTTGCAAACAAAAAGCTTTCAGTGGTACATTTAAATACATTTATTATGATTGTGAAAATTGGGGCTTTTTGTTTTACATTTTGTCTGCAGTTTGGTAAAGAAGGCTTAATAAATCAACTACCCCTTTTTTTATTTTTTATTTTATTTCATGGTATTTATCAGGTGCTGGCCCAACAGAGAGCAGAGCAGCAAAGACGTGAACTCGCACAGAACACCACATCTGACACCCCTATGGATCCTGTGACTTTTATCCAGACCTTGCCATCTGACCTTCGCCGTAGTGTGCTTGAGGATATGGAGGATAGTGTTCTAGCAGTAATGCCACCTGACATTGCTGCGGAGGCACAGGCCCTGCGCAGAGAACAAGAAGCACGACAAAGGCAGCTTATGCATGAACGGCTGTTTGGTCACAGTAGCACCTCTGCACTTTCTGCTATTCTCAGGAGCCCAGGTAGCTGCTGCACTTTGTATGGTACTGTAGAACAAAGGCAAATTAAGTCACACATCCTTTATAAAGGTACACTATTGGCATTCAGTTCACCCCTCATCTCATTGAAGTTGTCTGCAGTGTCCCTTACTCACTTAGTCCTACAATGTAAAACATTACCATTTTTGAGAAAATGTATGTAATTACATTGCAGAACTAAGACAGCCTCTAGAAGGTCATCCAGCATCTGTGAAATCCCCACAGGAAAACACTGATCCATTGCTTTCCTATGGGCAGGGCCTAATGCGCTTGGTGCAATCGGCGTGCATGTGCATAAGGTCCCTCTGTGGAGGAGCAGGCGGTGGAGCACCAAGGGACATTGTTGCTGGGATCGGTTAAATCTATAAGGTGGGGGGAGGGGAGATTTGTATTCCGAACGCTATAGAATCCCTTTACTACAACGGTGCATTAATTCCTCCAAGCACTGTAAAATTTAAATTGTACACACAACCGCTATATACCATGTGCAGTAGGAGCAATGTGTGTTTTATTTGCACTTTTATGTAACTTATCCCTGATAGTTTAGACTTTTTTGCCAAATGAATCGTGCAATTGAGGAGTGCAGTTGATCTTTCTCCAAATTATTTGATATTGCAATCATTTATGGAAACAGAGTTCGGGAATCCCCTAGTATCTTTGTGTATTTACATCTGTGAATTTGTGTTGTCTGTCTTAAATCTAGTGCAGAATAGTTCGTGCTGCAACATTTTTCCATTATCAATTTTTTTTCTTTTTCCTTCTTTGAAGCTTTCACAAGCCGGTTGAGTGGGAATAGAGGTGTCCAGTACACACGTCTGGCTGTGCAGAGAGGAAGCACCTTTCAAATGAGTGGGAGCAGTACACATACCAGGTATATTTTATTCAAGTAATTGTGTATACTTCGCATGATCAGTCACAAACGCTCCAAACTTTATTTTCCAGTTGCCAATTTCCCGAAATACTTCATTTGAAGGTTTTTTTTTTTTTAGTTAGTATTTTGAATTATGTTCCTGGTTACCCCAACAGTTTTACCACATGTCAACTGGTCCACTATAGAGCCAATCACCGTCTCTGATCACGCAGCTTTCACACTACTTCTCTCCACACAGCACTCACACCCCCATTACCGCACACTGGCGTTTCCCAGCGTATCTTACTGAAAACCCATCTTTCAGTGCCACTTACAGACTAGTTGGGCTAACTTTGTAGATGATCTTGGAGAGTGAAATTCACATAGCAATAAAGACCCTCTGAACAGAGAAAGTACCAGGTCCCGACTGCTTTACCTCAGAGTACTATAAACAGGGCCGGACTGGGGATACGAAGCAGCCCTGGAAAAAAATCTATGCCAGCCCCATAATTCAGTGTGCTATGTAAAATAAATATATATATACATATATACACATACATACATACATACATACACAATTGAAATAGTTGGCTGCACTCTCGGATTTCCTTAAAATGTAACTTTTATTGAAATATTTAAGAGAAGATCACTGTTTCAGTCCCTCTTGTGGACTTTCGTCATGATCCTGATGCAAGTCCACAAGAGGGACTGAAACGTTGATCTTCTCTTAAATATTTCAATAAAAGTTACATTTTAAGGAAATCCAAGCGTGCAGCCAACTATTTCAATTGTGTGTGTGTATATATATATATATATATATATATATATATATATATATATATATATATATATATATATATATATATATATATATATATATATACACACACATATACATACATACTGGAGCCCTGGTGATGCAACAGTAAAAATATATATATATAATATATATTTTATTGATACATTTCTTCTTCAAAATATTAGTTCTTTTAGGGTAATTAAATTATATAGTAACGCATACTCACACACAGACAATCTTACTGATGCACACAAATAGGCTCATTGACAGACAATCTCAATGACACACACAGACAAGGTTACTGGCACACACACAAATTTAGTAGACAAACTCTGATACACACAAGCTTACTACAGACAAGCTGTCACACACACGCTCACTACAGACACGCTCACTGATGCGCACACACTCTCCCTACAGACAAGCCCATTGACACACACATGCTCCCTACAGAAGAGCTCATTAACACACACACACACATATTATCCCTACAGACAAGCTCACTCACTAGCAGGCACACACACACAAACTTACTAGCAGGCACACACACACAGAGGCTCCCTCACTAGCAGATGCGCATGCACACACACACACACACACACACACACACACACACACACACAGAGGCAGACAGTCACTGACAACGAGGAAAACATCCACACATACAAAGACAGGCAGACAGCCACACGCAGGCAGACAGCCGCACGCAGGCAGCGAACAGCCGACGCAGGCAGACAGCCGCATCGAGGCAGACAGCCGCGACGCGGGCAGACAGCCGCGACGCAGAGGCAGACAGCCGCGACGCTTAGGCAGACACAGCCGCACGCAGGCAGACACGCGACGCAGGCAGATTAAAGTCGCGACGCGAAGTCAGTCAGACGCAGGCAGTCAGTCAGACGCAGGCAGTCAGTCAGACGCAGTGCCGTCAGACGCAGGCAGCCAGTCAGACGCAGGCAGTCAGTCAGATGAGGCAGTCAGTCAGACGCAGGCAGTCAGTCAGACGCGAAAGTGTCAGTCAGACGCGCAGGCAGTCAGTCAGACAGGCAGCTCGTCAGACGAGGCAGTCAGTCAGACGCAGGCGTCAGTCAGACGCAGGCAGTCAGTCAGACGCAGGCAGTCAGTCAGGACGCGAGGCAGTCAGTCAGACGCAGGCAGTCAGTCAGACGCAGGGGCAGTCGTCGACGAGGCAGTCAGCCGACGCAGGCAGTCAGTCAGACGCGCAGGCAGTCAGTCAGGACGAGGTAGTCGTCAGACGCAGGCAGTCAGTCAGACGCAGGCAGTCAGTCAGACGCAGGCAGCCGTCAGACGCAGGCAGTCAGTCGACGCAGGCAGTCAGTCAGACGCAGGCAGCCGTCAGACGCAGGCAGTCAGTCAGACGCAGGCAGTCGTCAGACGCAGGCAGTCAGACGCAGGCAGTCAGTCAGACGCGCAGGCAGTCAGTCAGACGCGAGGCAGTCAGTCAGGACGCGCAGGCAGTCAGTCAGACGCAGGTGTCAGTCAGACGTGAGGCAGTCAGTCAGACGCAGGCAGTCAGTCAGACTATAGTGTGTCACAGAAGTCAGACGCAGGCAGTCACAGGAAGCCGAGAGGCAGTCAGCAGGAAGTTTTACCAGGCAGTCACAGGAAGTCAGACGCAGGCAGTCACAGGAAGTCAGACGCAGGCAGTCACAGGAAGTCAGACGCAGGCAGTCACAGGAAGTCAGACGCAGGCAGTCACAGGAAGTCAGACGCAGGCAGTCACAGGAAGTCAGACGCAGGCAGTCACAGGAAGTCACACACTCACACTGGCCTCCCCTCCCCCTAATACACTGCTGACCCCCCTCCTTCCCCTCCCCAATACATTACTGACCCCCCCCAATACATTGACCCCCCCCCTCCCCAATACATTACTGACCCTCCCCTCCTCTCCCCAATACAATAGATCCCCCCAAGCCCCTTTATTCTTACCTTTCCAACAGTTCATGTTGCAGGAGGGAAGAGAGGCCGCGATCTAATCGGAGTAGGTACGGCCGCCGCGCAGCCGCCGGATATGACGTCCTGTCGTCATTTGCCGCTCACATCCGGCGGCTGACGGGAAGCATCTGTGCGCTCGCACAGGAAGCAGCCGCGGCCGGCGCGGCGCGGATGTGGCTGCGCCGGCCGCATAGGCAAACAGAATTTTTTTTTTCTGTTCTTGTGGCTGAGGTCAGCCACATGTCAAAGCGGCCCCAGGGCTGGCGGCCTACCGGGAAATTTCCCGGTATCCCGGTAGGCCAGTCCGGCCCTGACTATAAATCCCATAAACAGCTTAGTCCCACTCTCAAAAACTTGTTCAATAAAATATATTTAGAATGCCTGTCAATAGATGAACTTAATCGAGCCAGAATAATACCCAAACCCGACAGGGATGCTGAGAATTTGGCGTCCTATCGCCCAATATCACTACTTAATCAGGACGTCAAACTCCTTACCAAAATCATTGCTCTGAGAATACAATCGTTTCTGCCACAGACACTCGCCTCTCACCAACTGGACTTTGTGCGGGGCAGGCAGGGAGTGACAGGGGTCCACAGAGCTCTTGCGGCTGTGGCTTATGCCACACGTGGGAAACTGGACTCATACTCCCCATCCCTTATTAGCCTTGACATAGAGAAGGCTTTTGATAGCATATCCTGGCAGAACCTGATTAGGGTGCTAAAGTTGAGATACTTCGGTCACACATTCAAAAGTTACACCATCACTCCACCACCTGGATTAACACAAATGGCCTGGACTCGCCATACTTTGCCTTGGGGAGGTTTGTGCGCCAGGGTTGCCCGCTCTCGCCTCTGCTGTTTAATCTTGCCATTGACCCGTTACTGAGAGCTATTGAGAAGCTACAGGGGTTTAGGGACATACCGATGGGTGACGTTACACTGAAAGTCACAGCATTTGCTGATGATCTGTTACTTTTTATCACTGACCTATGACGCTCCCTGCCACCCCTTGTTGACTTGCTTGAGACATTTCACAACATTGCGGGCCTAAGGGTCAATTGGGCCAAATCATGTGCCCTTCACTTGAGTGGACACCCTCCGCCATCACTCCCTCGGATTTCCTCTGCGGTGGCAGTCGAGGGCGCTTAAATATCTTGACATTAAGGTCCCTAGAGAACTCTCCCTCATATATAAATTAAATATTCAGCCAATCTTAACAGCCATCTTTGCAGAGTTTGAACACTGGCACAAGTTGCCTTTATCTTACATTGGAAGGGCCAATCTATACAGATTGGTCAGTTTTCTTAAACTATTATATCCCCTCCAGATGCTCCCAAACTTCTCTCGAAAAGTGACGATTGTTTGTTCAACAAACATCTTAGACAATTTCTCTGGCATGGGAGAAGGGCACGCCTTACTAAATTATACCAACACAGGGCTGATGGTCTAAAGCTGCCTAATGCTGGGGAAAACAGTTTGGCAGCACAGCTTAGACATGCGCTAGACTGGATTCAATCTCAAAACAGATTTTCTAACTTGTCATTGAAGTCCTATCTGGCATCACTGAACCCACTTGTGGCTCTCCTTCACAGGCCACACCACCTACTCCCTGACTATATCCTATCTAATCCCCTCCTGGTTAGCCTTATTAGGGCATGGAAACAGTCTCGCTCCAAACTGGGTGTTGACCCAATACATACTATTTAGCTCACAACCCAGGCCTTTCCACAGGCACTCACCACCCTTTCACGGTGTGGGCGGAGAGTGGGATTGCCACCCTCCGGCCTTTTGTAGATCATGTCGGCCAGAGGTTTCTCTCCCTTGCTGAGATACGGGAGTGTTTTGCAGGCCTTCCTCTTCCATGTTTTGCTTACCTTCAAACACGACACTACTATAACACCATTACGCAACACTTCCCGCCTGCTGACTGGGAGAACGCTCTAGACACACTATTGTGCTTTTCTGACTCCACTGCCTATTCCATTTCCAAACTCTATAAGACACTGCGATATATCCCGGACTGGAGCACCTTACAAACAGGCATAGGGAAGTGGAAGACACGTTTTCCGAACATAAGCCCGGGAGACATGCTCACTGCACACTTTACCCATAGCCAGACTCTACCAATGGTGTCTTATAGAGACATGTTCCTTAGAACTCTACTTTACGCTTATTACTCCCCTCACTGACTCCATCTCATGGCCAATAGGGAGACTGCGACTTGTTTCAAATGCACACACACCAAGGCTGACGTGTATCACTGTGGGAGTTCGCTCTAATCCAATCTTTCTGGACCGAGCTAAACGGTTACTTAGAGGGACATGCCTATCTTACCGCTTACCCCTGAATTTTTGCTTTTGGGACCCTTACTAGGTCTCCCACTGCCTAACAAACGATTCCTCCTTATCGTAGCAGCGGTGGGACACAAAACCATCCTGCAGGTCTGACAGCGGAGGCAAGCAGACGCAAGACTCAGGAGCTCCGAGGAAAAAAACGGAGAAAATAAACTTAACGGCTGATACGACCCCCAATAACCACTGACTAAAAGCGGGAACCCCTTAAGCCCTAATGGGACGCAAACACAAGAAACTGTTGCCGGACAAACAAGCCCCAGGACTCACAATAGGGGATATGTGGCGACAAGCACGCGGCCTGAGCGGATCCAATATGGCGGCGCTCCATGGAGGCTGCTCGGATTTCTCCGACGACTGCTCAGAGGGAGCTGAAGATGAATGCCTCCTAGCCCCAGACCCAATGCCGAGGGCAAAACCCAACAAACTTAGGAAGGACACAGACGCCGAACTGGTAACAACCGGGGTGTTAAAGACCCTGCTAGCAGACCTACAAAAGAACATCCTCGCGGATGTCACCGCACTAAGGGGAGAGCTGAAGGGCCTGACAGGCCGCATTACTGTACTAGATGAATCATCCCAAGAACAGCAGCACACTATCGCCTCACTGCAAAGCGACATACGGGACCTGCGCAACCAAACTATGCTGTATGAACGGCGCTTCACAGCCCAAGAAGACTCAAAACGGAGACTTAACATAAAGGTCAGGGGAATCCCAGAGGGGTTGCCGGAGGCTGACCTACCGCACACGATCAAACGCCTGCTTGCCACCATACTACCCACAGACCAAGCCAGGGCTGTCATGCCCACGGATCTCTTCCGGATTCCAAAGCCCGCTGGGGCCCCAGACGTGGCCACAAGGGACACTATACTTACATTTAAAAACAGGACTGACAAATCGACGGTCCTCACAGCCATCCGGGGTAAAGCCCCCATACAATTTGAAAACGCTAAACTAACCTTTTACGCCGACCAGTCCAGTGGCACTCTGGCGTGGCGCAGGTCACTGCGGCCTCTCACCTCACACTCGAGCGCAACAACATACCGTATCGCTGGCGGTCCTCACACTTGCTCCGGGTACAACAGGGCGAAACAACACACCAAATTTACAGCATGCAAGACGCAGAGGCCCTTCTGCACACCCTAGATCTATCACTGGATTCACCCCCACAAGCGGGACCTTGTGCCCCCGCCACCCCGACTCACAGCTGGGACCCAGAAAACAGTGCCCCATTCAGACCGCGGAGCACCACGCCGGTCACCTACGCCTCAGTGACCACATAAATCTTCAGCATCCACCTACTTTCAGCCTCCCACCCCTGGGCATCGGCTGATCTGCTCAATGCCTGGACTGCACCCACGCACTACAGACACACAGAGAGGCGCAGTCCAAGTGGAAAAGTCTCCCTGGGAGGCCTGACGAAGACCGAAGCAAAATCCCACTTCCTGTAGGCATCTGAAGAATGGATACAGAACTTTTTTTTTTTTACTTCATAGATCTACCGGTTGCCATACAACGCTGGTCTGCTTGCATTTCTGTTGACTCTGGCAGTTATGTACCTGCAGCCTACAAGCTCTTGGCATCAGCTACGCAGCTCTCAAGGACGCTCAGAACACGCATACAATGCTTGCGGTACCCATATGTTGAAACGACTAGCAACCCAGTGGTTGTTATTGTTCTTGTTTTTTGTTACTTTTTCTGGGTTCTACGGCGAGTACCTCAATTTCACCATTGAGCCATGCTATAATTTGTTTATACACGCTAGGGTTTGGAACGCAAAGCGTCTGAATATTGCACAGACATGTTGGCTTAGCCTGTGATCACTGGTTCATCTCTTATATATCATGGTTACTTAAAGTTACTTAAAGTTAACTCCTGAGTAACTATTAATGTACAATTGTGCAAGTACCCTGTTTAGATCCATCATAGGCTCTGCTGGCCTGTAGCCGGGCAGTGGGACATGACTAGCCATCTTATATCAATATTGACCGCTTGCAATGTCTGACCACAAACAGTAATAGGAACTCAAGCTCAATTGTTTCAAGCAGCATGTATAGCCAGATTGTTACTCTCATTTTACTAAGCCTGTCCAAGCTTACCTTTAAATTTATCTTTGCGCTATATTCTAATGACAAAACGGGTTAGCCATGCTGATGATTGGTATAACTATAGGTATAACACTGTGCAATTCCTCGTGCCACTGCTCAATTTACGTACAAACTCAATGCTGTTTATAAACTAAAATTGTGCTCAAGGAAAGAGAAAGAAAAGGAAAGAAGGGAAGGGGGGGAAAAAAAGGGAGTCCACTGCCAGAACTCCTAAAATGCTTAGACCATAACCAAACAGTACCATGCAGCCGTAAGATGTATATACTCCTATCTTGCTTAAATTGCCATCCTCAGGTCTACGTCCAAATTTAGCTACTTCCCTTCACTAGTTACTCCAGACTTATATTGTCTAGCCTGTTTAGCCTGCGGGATATATATAATTCAACAATGTGCCACTATTTTACTCCACTACATTACTTTGCTAACTCATGTTTTTCCTCCAAAAGTGTTGAGGCTTAATCGTTCTTACTAATTTACCTAGCACGATTCGTCACGAAGACACTCTCTGCCCAGACAAACAAGTGTTATGTTTAACTAGTTACCATACTTTAAATATTAAATTTCGTGCTGTTCTCTCAAATGATGCAAAGTATTGTCTCTAACAGTCCTCAATGTCAACCTACATGTATCATTGAATGTACTGCAAATCCTCACATCTGCTGTTGTGGCAATGCAGGATGTATTGTAATCTCATGCACGTTCAAAAATAAAGAATAAAAAAAATAAAACGAAAAAAATGGATTGGTTGGACACCCTAACAAAAAACTCCTCGTCTAAAAATTTCTCTTGACCTGAAGATCATAAATATTCACCCTAGACTAATCTTTCAAGACCAAGGTGAAAACCACTTTGGCATACACTGCATGGGCAGTTGAGGTGATGACGGGTCGAGATCCCCTGGCAGTAATTCCTTGATGGGCTTATCTCCACTTATCCCAGAACACCGGCCTAACACTGTGTTGGAGGGCGGGAGGCTAAGGCAAACCGGCAATTAGTTTAATATGTTTATCTAATTTGGTATTTTAATTCATGCTTTAATAGCAGAGCACTTGAACCGCAGACCTTCTTTGGTGTATGTTCTCCTGCTCTTAGCTGTTAAACAGCAAAATTATTGTATGTTTCCTTGCCCTGAGCAACAACAGCTCATAGTCCCTGATCCACGCAAGTGGTATCTCGGGAGAATTGGCAGTGGCTGAGCCTGCTGGACACCCACATCTAAAGGTAACTGTCAAAGCTCAACCTCTTATTAACAATGACCTATTTGGTTTTGTAACTCTTATTTGTTTTTTTCTGTTTTATTTATGTTGAGAACCACAAAATAGTGAATGTAACTGACCGAATAACCGCTTAAAAGCATAAATGTCACTCGTGCTATATTCTTGTAGCATGCATTCATGGTTTTGATAATTGTTGATATTTACATTCTTAAGACTTTCTTGATTGGTGATGGTACTTTGAAGCCTGAGAGCTACTTTAACCTCTGTCAATTAAGTAGACTAATTTTTCCCCCCTCTCTCTCTTTCAGCAGGCCAGCAGGAAGCAATGTGGACAGCCTGTTGCGACTCAGAGGACGCTTGTTACTTGATCATGAGGCACTCTCCTGTCTTCTTGTGCTGCTGTTTGTGGATGAACCCAAGCTTAACACCAGTCGCTTGCATCGTGTTCTGAGGAACCTCTGTTACCATGCACAAACCCGCAACTGGGTAATTAGGAGCTTACTGTCCATTCTGCAACGCAGCAGTGAAAGTGAGCTTTGTATAGAAAGCCCAAAGACTCCTATAGGAGGACCAGATAAAAGAGCCAAGGCTTGCTCTTCCAGCCATGACAACCGTCCCTTAGAATTGATTCCATCCTGTGCAGCTAAGAACTCAAACCAGCTCTCCTGGCTCTCTGTGTCAATGGACGCTGCTCTTGGTTGCCGTACCAACATCTTCCAAATCCAGAGGACTCTAGGGCGCAAGCACACTGAAAAGCATGCAGCCTGTGGATCCACTGTTCACATACACCCACAAGCAGCTCCTGTGGTTTGCAGGCATGTGTTGGACACACTGATACAGTTGGCAAAGGTGAGACATCTGTTTTTCAACAAGGTTACCCATAATGTGTAATATTATAAGTGATGCTTCTGTTTGTTTATCCAGATAGTGAAATATGACCTGTGGATTTTTACTGCATTTGTACTATTGTAGATTTTGTCCATACATCCATGCACACATACAGATATAGATATAGATATAGATATAGATATAGATAGATAGATATATATATATACACACACACACTTACCACTACAGGTTATTTTATTATTTTAATTAAGGAACACTCAGGTCACCATAACTTCATCTAGATACCTATTATGTTTTTATTTTGAATGGGAAGCTACTGATCTGTGTCTCAGATGGACACTCTAGCCAATCGGCAACACTTCTGCCTGGGGCAAGCCACACTTCCTGAAACTCCGTTTCAGAAGCTGCAGGGGGAACTGCAAATCCAGCCCTAGAGGCAGCCTTTGGGGTTATAAAACGACTTGAGAATAGTTTAACCCCTTAGGTAACCATTTACTACCATATCCTTCATCAGAACTTGACCCTGACAATGACTTTTGCTCCAGTGCTTTAGAACACCACAGCAATAATTCTAAATACATCAATAAAAGGGAGAGGGAGGGCATGCTGGGCTCCATTTGCGCGGCTCCTGTCTTGGAAAACAGCTGACGGGGTTGCACTTGCGTTGCCGCATTTCTTACCTTGCTTCCTGTGCGTCTCTGGCTCGCGGCCTGCATCCAGTCCTCGGCCAGCTGCAACAGATGTGCCCTCACTTCTGCCCAGCTACTTTTCTCACTCTGCCCAACTACTTAACATGGTGTCATAAACTTCACTTGACTTTTCTTAACTATACACAAAGACAGCATAACCCTTTGCCACCATACATATATGCCACAGTGCTTAATAACTGTGGCATTTATTTTAAGAGTAGCCTTTGCATGCAGCAATATTACATTTATCTACACATCAGATGCAATGCCTATTGACTTTTCTATGGAAAATGTTTTGTTTTCTTTATTAAATAATTTTACTTTTGTTCATCCTTCCAAGGAGATTACACGATTTAAATGGTCATTCTGCTGAAAGCTCAAGTTGCTTTCACTCGTTATTTGTTTTTGTCTGCGGACATTACACTTGTGCTTGCAGGATCCAGCCTGTACACAGTTTGCTTGTTGGACATTTATGGAAAAATATATTCTTTGGTCAATGACTCCTCTCTTTTCCACAGGTATTCCCCAGTCATTTCACACAGCAGCGGACCAAAGAGTGCAGTGTAGAAACCAGCGAGAGCAGGGAGAGGAGTATAAAACTGACTTGCAGCCCGTGCCTTGCACCGTCGAGCAGCACCGGGGCAGGCAACATTTCCACAGACTTCTGGGACTTGCTAGTTAAACTGGACAACATGAATGTTAGCCGGAAAGGAAAAACCTCTGTCAAGTCTATCCCAGTGAGCTCTGGGGCTGAGGGTGAGTCCTCGCAGTGCAGTCTGGAGGCTTCACCTCTGGGTCAGCTCATGAATATGTTGTCGCATCCTGTCATCCGGCGGAGTTCACTACTTACTGAGAAGCTGCTACGTCTTCTTTCTCTCATTTCCATTGCCCTTCCTGATAACAAAGCTCAAGAATCATTGGCCATTGCGCCAAATGCAATTGCACCTGTTCCTGCACCCACCCCTGCAACAGCACCAGTACCTCTACCTGTACAGGCTGTAACCGTGCCAACTGCCATCACTACAAATGTAGTGTCAAGTAAGTACCATGCAAATTATGTCAAATCAGGTATACTTTGATTTGAGAATCCAAAATATCTCAATCCATTAGATTTCATTGTAGTATACGTGGTGAAATGGTGTCTCACTTTAAGTTTGCGTTCTTTCTCCTTTGCAGCGGTTACAAAAAGTGGCAAGTCTCCTGCAAAATCCAGTGAAGGCAGCAGTCTACCTGAAAAGATGGCTGCTTCAGGGCTTACTGAGAAACAGCTTCAACTTTCTGTTGAGGTAAGCACTTTGATATTCTGGGATTTAAAACACATTAGATGTGCTCATTTCCATGAATCCTGGACTGCAATGTGGAATTAAACCATTGGTTACCTGCAGGCTACTTCAAACCAGTTTGTTTTACTAGCACTGCACGCACATAGTGTATAATTTTCTTGTTTCTATAATGTTTATCATGTTAATACCATGCTAATTTGTGTATTTATAAGCTTGTCAACCTGACTTGTTTAAAGCACAAAGTCAGACATTTTGTAAATTGCCTAATAAAGGTTTATAAGTCTTGCTTCCACCTTCATCTGACATATGACTGCATTAGGGCTATTGGTGCTGTGGAATGCCTTACTTATCATGCTTTCGTCTACAACTGGTTTTTAAAGGATTACTACAGTCTCCCAGACCAATTCATCTTAATGAAGTGCACTGGGTGCAATTATTCTGTAATTTTATCCCCACGATGAAAAATATTGCAATTTAGTAGAAACTTCAATGTTTACGGTGTAGGGTTAAACATGCCTCTAGTTCAGGATTAGGCAGTCTTTGGCACACCAAATGTTGTGGACTACGTCTCCCTTGATGCTTTGCCAGCATGATGGTAGATGTAGTCCTGAAATGCTAAAGGGTGCCTACGCCTGACAATCACTAGGGGCACTTCCCCCTCCAGAACAGAGTGAAACTCTATCCTGGAATCTAATGCTGATCATAGCATAACATTTAATTGGAGGAGCACAGTGTTTGGCCGTGCATGCCTAGTTCCAATTCATTGCTTCTCTGTGAAGTCACTGGTGATGTCTGCTTGGATACTGGCATCACCAGAGGTGGAGCTGGAGGCTGCAGTGGACGAAATCAACGGGTGAGGTGGAATGCAGATAATCTAAGGTTGCTAAAATAATTATTTTCAGGACTATAGGTACACATTAATCAGTGGGCCATATCAACCTTTGTGTGCCACAATTAAAGGGTCAGTATTCAATGTTGCCAATTGAATATTCCATTATAATAGTGTAGAAAATAGCAGCATCAAAGTAGCTGTGCTCCAAGCCCTGGAAATAACCCCAACTCCTCACCAATACTGTATACGTAAGAAAGGATGAGGACTGGGTTCTCAGCATTTCAAATTGTGCCAGTCTCTTTAATGGAGAGTATCAAGCCACAGAGGGACCATGTGATTAACGCACTGTTTTGCCATGCATGTGCATTAGCCTTATAATGCTTTCTTGTTGGAAAGACTTAAATTACCTGTTATCGATCTCTATGATCTCAGCCGTGGAGGTTCCTTGCAGGGACTGGCTCTGCGAGGGAGAAGGGGTAAGAAAAATCTTTTTCTTTTTTCTTTTCTTTTTTTTTTTTATTATTTACATTTATATCTTCCTCCTCCCTACAGGTGGGAGCCGTTAACGTAAACTGCCACAAGAATACACATTCGTATTCCTAATGCAGTATTGTTCCTTTAAGAGCTGGCCTGTGGCCTTTCAATATGTCATACCTACAGTTTTCCCGCTTGAATTTGTATATTCTGTATAGCACATTTCACAAGCTTCTATGTAAAGTAACAAGATTATCATGCCTCTGCAACTAAGTTTTTTTTGCCTTGTGGGCCACAAGCTGAATTTCCATGTTTCCATTGTAGGTTCTGACATCCCACTCATGTTCTGAGGAAGGGTTGGAGGATGCAGCAAATGTGTTATTACAGCTGTCGCGGGGTGATCCTAGCACAAGGGACACTGTGCTCAAACTGCTTCTTAGTGGAGCCCATCACTTAGGATACACACTGTGTAAACAGATTGGTAAGGAATGTTTGCCATCACAGAATATATACAGAAAGTATGTCTCTTTTACCAAATCCCATCTTGTACCTAGAAGTAACTGATCTCATGCTGGCTTTATTTTTCTAGGTACTCTTTTAGCAGAGCTACGGGAATACAACTTGGAGCAGCAGAGACGTATTCAGTGTGAGGCAATTTCTCCAGATGGATTGCCAGAAGAGCAGCCTCAGAATGCCAAGGCTAAGGGCAAAATGCAGAGCAGGTGAGTGTTGTGGTCCTGGACCATTTGGCCTGTTTGTAAGAAGTTGCTAAGTTTGTGGATGAGGACAGTGGTCAATCTAAATTGTCAGGTCTCTCCCCACCCCATCCCTACGGTCCAGGTTCGACATTGCAGAGAACGTGGTGATTGTGGCATCCCAGAAACGCCCACTAGGAGGAAGGGAGCTGCAGTTGCCTTCCATGTCCATGCTGACTTCGAAGACTTCCACGCAGAAATTCTTCCTGAGAGTACTGCAGGTCATCATCCAGCTAAGGGACGACACTCGCAGAGCCAACAAGAAAGCAAAGCAGACCAGCAGACTAGGTGGGAAAATGGTAGTCTTGTAGCGAAGTAAGACCATTATCATAAAACGAGAAATATTTTATTGCATGTTGAGGATGCTGCTTCAAATGGGTCAATAATAAAAGAGCCACATTGAATTAATGCTCTTCAGCCTGGAATATCTGTGGCACTTTGTGAATTCAAAAGCTTTTAGAGACTTTGCAAAGTTTGTATTATGGATTTAGCCAGCACTCTGTGAGGGTAGATGTTCTTTAGTTATATGATGCAGGTAATATGTAACTTCAGACTCTTGAGAGGTTTTATTCCATTAATGACTGGAATAAGTTTCCATAAATCACCTGTAAATATAGTCCAGGAACAACTGTAGGGCAAGTGTTTGGGTTATTTTAATGTGCAAGTCATTGCATTAACGGTTTTTTTTTGGTTTGTTTTTTTGCAGGAGCTGCCAGTCTGGCCTCGGCTAGCAGCATCCAGGCAGCTGTGCAGCAGCTGGAGGCTGAGGCTGATGCCATTATACAAATGGTACGTGAGGGTCAAAGGGCGCGGAGACAGCTGCAAACTGCAACGGTTAGCATGATGACTGACGCTGGCAGAACATCCATCCTTTAGTTTGTTCCTCCCTCTTAATTTGAGCTGCTTTTCATTTCCTAATATGCACCAACCTTTTCCCACCTGCTTGTTTTGTCCTTATGATTGTGTCATGTACACCTGCTGGTCCTTCTAGACCAGCTTATTCTTTTACTTCTCTCTGACTGCCTAATGCATGTGCCTTGAGACTTGGCAAAGCAAAGTTAGCACATGGCTTTTTGCTAACCGAATCATGGCTTCTGGTTTTCTTCAGAGCAACAGCTTCTTTGCCTTTATAGTTTACTTTTCACACCCCTCATCTCTCCTAAACCTATGTGGCAAGGCCTACTTTCTTTGCCACCTCACTGACCTGTTTTTGTCTTGTTCAGGCGGAAGGATCTACTCGACGAGAAGAATCTCCAATGGATGTTGACCAGCCATCTCCTGTCACACAGGACACTCAGTCAGTTGGTTAGTGGACATTAGATTACTGAAAATTTATATTTTCATTACAAGCAGACCGGTTTGTAGATTTTTTTTTTATATAACTGTTCAAATGTGCTTTTTTTTCCAGCTTCTGAAGGATCCCAGCCTGCTGAGAAGAAAGAGGAAGAGCGGTTGCCAGAACTGCCACTACTGAGTGAGCAGCTAAGTCTAGATGAATTGTGGGACATGCTGGGAGAATGTCTGAAAGAATTGGAGGAGTCACATGACCAGCATGCTGTGTTAGGTAACCAAATTACACTGTGTAGTTCCACCGATCTTTTGCAGTTTTGTTTTTGGAAATACAATCTTCAATAATTATAATTTCTCCTTCTGCAGTTCTTCAGCCTGCAGTAGAAGCCTTTTTCCTGGTTCACGCAACAGAACGAGAAAGCAAGCCTCCAGTACGAGATACAAGAGAGAGCCAGTTGTCTCATATCAAAGATGAGCCCCCTCCTTTGTCCCCAGCGCCACTCACACCTGCTACGCCTTCTTCCTTGGATCCCTTCTTTTCTCGGGAACCTTCAGCTATGCACATCTCATCCAGCCTGCCTCCAGACACACAAAAGTTTCTTCGTTTTGCAGGTATAATGTTTTGCATATATGTACTTGTTATTTTATAATTTGGACAACTAGTGCTGGAAGTTGAAATTAGTTGACGCATCCCTGCTGAATGCGAAGTTAAATTGTATTCACTGGTATGATACTGATTCTGACACCTCTTCTTTTCTAGAAACACACCGCACTGTGTTAAACCAGATTCTCCGGCAGTCCACCACTCATTTAGCGGATGGGCCCTTCGCTGTACTTGTGGATTATATCAGAGTCCTCGACTTTGATGTGAAGCGCAAGTAAGTATGACATCCTTTGTGAGTTCTACATGTTGATAAATTCAAGGCCTTCCTTAGTGCACACAAGGGTCTAATTTTATTGTGCAATAGACCAGCTTTCACAAAGCGCTGTAAAGTAGTATTTAATCTTATTACCAAAAATGCTACTTGACTGATAACGATTTTTGAAAGTTTTTGTTTAGTTTACTATATAAAAAGTTAAATATCAATCTAAACGCTTCTGGCTTCAACATCATTTCAGACACTAGACAAGCATGCGTTACAATGTGATTACATTGATATTGCAATAAAATACTCACTGTGCTGTAGTTGGTAGCATGAACTATATTCCGAAAGGAAGAGTGAAAAGGGGTAAATATCTTGAAGGAAACATACCTACAATAAAGAAACCACTGAAGTGGTTAAAGTATTCATACCCCTTCATTTTCCCTTCATTTTATGTGCAGCCTCATGTTTTAATTGTTTAAAGTCAATTTCTGTTTATGTCAAGTCTGCACTCAATGCCCCATAATGACAATGCAAATGTCAGGTTTTTGAAAACTTTGCAAATTTATTAAAAAAAAGACATATCACCTTGACAAAAATATTCAGACTCTTAACTGTATCACTTTTGAGATATTGCTACACTTTGACGTCCACCTGTGGCAGTTGATTGGACATGATTTTGAAACATAGAAACCTAGAATGTGACCACAGGTAGGAACCATTTGGCCCATCTAGTCTGCCCAATTTTCTAAAACTTTCGTTAGTTCCCTGACCTTATCTTATAGCTAGGATAGCCTTATGCCTATCCCACGCATGTTTAAAACCCCTTTACTGTGTTAACCTCTACAACTTTAGAGAGAAGGCTGCATCCACTACCCTCTCAGTAAAGTAATACCTGAAATTAAGACACACGCACACACCTGTTTGACGTCTTATAATTAGAGGAAAAACCAAGGCACAAGCTCAAAAAATTGAAGGGGGTAAGGGAGGAGAGAATAGCCTTGGTGAGAGGTATCCAAGAGCTTGATGGTCTAGAGATCATGTATTGAGGTGCTAAGGACAACCATCACTGCAACACTCCACAGGTTTGGCCTTTATGGCAGATTGGCCAGCCCTCTCCTTCCTGCAAGACACATGAAATCCTGCTTGAAATTTGCACCTAAAGCGCACAGACTATGAGAAACTAGGTTCACTGGTCTGATAAAATGAAGATGTAACGGTTTGGCCTTAATCCTTCGTGTCATGGCTTCAGGAAACCTGGCACTGCTATTTACCTGTGCAGTGCCATCCTAGTAGGGAATAATGGCATCATGCTTCTGAGTGTTTTTAGCAGCAAAGTCTGGGAGACTGTACAGGGTTGAGGGAAAACTGAATGGTGCAAAATAGATATTCAAAACTTGGACTTGAGCACGTAGACTGGGCGGAACGTTCAGGTTCCAACAGGAGAACCCAAAGTACAGCAAAAACAATAAAAAATATCTGGAGAGAGCTGAAAATTACTGTCCATTCATGATCCCATCCAACCTGAAAGAACACCAGAAGCATGTGTGCAAAGCCTGTTGCATCATATCCAAAAAGACTTCAAAGGTGCTTCAACGAAGTACCAAGTTAAGGCTCTAAATATTTGTCAATTTGATAGTTTTGTGGGGTTTTTTTTTTTGGTTAATATATTTGCAGAACTTGTTTATTTGCTTTATCGTTTGAGTAATAAGTGTAGATTGAAGTGTGAAAAAAAAAAAAAATTTGTAGCATAAGGTTGCAACATGAAAAAGTGAAGGGGTCTGAATGTCCTGTATGTTCATTTCCTTAAGAAATGTAACATTATTTTGGTATAGTTTTTAAATTTGCATGTTTTTTTTTTTTTCCTATTCTGCACGAATTAATATACAATTCTAAGCCAGAACACCGTTTAAAATGGAGCATTTGTTAAATTTCACTTCTTACTCTGTATATTTAAAAAATAAAAAATAAAAAAGGGAAACTGTCTCAAAGACAATCATTCATTTTAGACCCATAAGTCCTATTAAAATGGGGGGTAACAAAGTAAATGCTATTGTATGAGGTTAACCAACCCAAATTAGCCAGGATTAGTGCATTCCAGCTAAGCACGTGTGTCACACCAAAGAGCAGCACTGTAATGGCTTGCTATATTGAACCAAAACTGCATTACCAAGGGCATGTTTCTAGTGCAACTATTGATGCTTTTCATAGAATGTTAATTGTCCTACAGACCAAGATGCTGTAAGGCCTGTCTTAAATTTATTTTATCTTCCATACAGATATTTCCGCCAGGAGCTCGAGCGACTGGATGAAGGGCTGCGCAAAGAAGATATGGCTGTTCATGTAAGACGAGACCACGTGTTTGAAGACTCTTATCGTGAGCTCCATCGGAAATCTCCAGAAGAAATGAAAAACAGATTGTAAGTGGTTGGTTTTATGTAATGGGGAGCGTATATTCATTGCCTCTATTAAACAGGTCATGTGTATTATGTTGTTCTTTGTGGAATGCAGTAAGTAGCATCTTGCAAAGCCTTCTCTTCAATGTCTTGTAACTTCCATTCAAACAGATTTAAAAAAATAAAATAAAAAAAATCCTGCACTCAAAATTTATTTGTCTTTTAATTAGATTTCATTTTAAGCAGCACTGTCACATAGTGTAACTTTTATGGAACTGTCATGTTGACTATATTGTAATTTCTTTTAAATTCCAAGATAGTCATAACATATAGAGGGGAAACCATTACGTACATTACCAGGGGCACAGGAGGTAAATAAAAACACGACTAATTCCCAAAGGTTTATAGCAACATTTTTGCTTATAAAAGAGACACTTGATTTATTTTTGGTTATTTGGAAGGGGTAGGATATATTTCTTAAGTGGTACAGTAAAATGTGTGCTTTAGGCAAGTTATTTTATGTTTATTTGGTTCTATAGCACAGAACGGTTTTCCTCATAAAAACTCTTAGAATTATTATGAATGTGTCAGAAACATTCCTTTTTGTATTCACACAGATACATTGTGTTTGAGGGGGAAGAAGGCCAGGATGCAGGTGGACTTCTCAGAGAATGGTATATGATCATCTCAAGGGAGATGTTCAATCCCATGTATGCACTGTTCCGCACTTCACCTGGAGATCGCGTCACTTACACCATCAATCCCTCATCCCACTGCAACCCCAACCACCTCAGCTATTTTAAGTTTGTGGGACGTATTGTTGCAAAAGCAGTGTATGACAATCGGCTGCTGGAATGCTACTTCACACGGTCCTTCTACAAACACATCCTCGGCAAGTCTGTCCGGTAAGTTTTCTTTCAGGTTTCCCCAATGGAGTTGCTCCTTGAAAATAGAAGCTTCTGACTAGACGAAAAGGTTGTGTAAATACTGAAAACCAGTTTAGATGTCAACATTATAATTTTCCTCCCCTCCCCCCTGTTTCCTGCAGGTACACAGACATGGAAAGTGAAGACTATCATTTCTACCAGGGTTTGGTCTATCTGCTGGAAAATGATGTCTCCACATTGGGATATGATTTGACATTTAGCACAGAGGTATGAAACCCTCCAGCCCTTCCAATCTAGAGATTACGTGGCATATTTTACCAGAGATTAGTGTGTCTTCTCTTTCATCTGTTGTGTAAAGATTCACACAGTTTTGTGATTATGACCTGATCGAAACAACATTGAAACATGTTAAGTCACATTTTGGTAACTGGAATTAGGTATTGACGTATTTGTGTAATCTGCATGAAAAATCCTTTCCAAAAGATTTAAATGTATTCATCTGAGATAATCCAACTGGGACAATTATGTATAAATTAATCTAGATCACGATACTTTTGCTACATTGCCCAGGAAGCGTTCTTAAAAAAACCTCTAAATGATCTTTGCAACATTTATTAAAGGAACACTCCAGGCACTATAAGAACATTGCCTGAAGCTAAGGGATCAAGCAAATGGATGCTTTCTTCTCAACTTTAGGGTTATACTGTTTGTAATTAGTTTAACCTCTTATCTTATGATGAGGTTAAACTAATCACATGGTGCCCAGAGTATTCATTTGAGGTGAATATAGCTGCAATGGTAAATTAAATGTACCTATGCTGCTCTTTGCACTGTGGGTCACCCCCAATCAAAGAGAATGCACTCTATGGCATGCCTTCAGCAAAGCACTGCTTGTACAGCATTGCTGGTGGTTATATAACTCGCATGCTGGGCACAATAATAGCTTGTTTTTTTGTTTTTTTTTTATTGGCTATTCGACTGTGCAAAAACACTGTTCCGTTTTGTTTTTACTTTTTTTTTTCTCTCATGTCCTCTCCTTTCTCAATACAGGTTCAGGAATTTGGAGTCTGTGAAGTCCGTGATCTGAAGCCTAATGGGGCAAACATTCTCGTAACAGAGGATAACAAAAAGGAATATGTTCACCTTGTGTGCCAGATGAAGATGACAGGTATGGCAATGATTGTGCGCGCGTAGGGAACTCTCTACAGTGAGAAAGTCCTACTGAACCTGTATATTTTCTATTGTGAGTACTGTTAAAGGAGATTGTCTAACATGTCTTTCTTATCAGGTGCAATTCGTAAACAGTTGGCTGCTTTCCTAGAGGGATTCTATGAGATTATCCCCAAACGTCTTATCTCTATCTTCACGGAGCAGGAGCTGGAACTGCTCATCTCCGGCTTGCCCACCATTGACATAGATGACTTAAAATCCAATACAGAGTATCACAAGTACCAGTCTAATTCTATCCAGGTAAGGCTTTTGCCATGCCAATTACTATACTATTTTTTTATCTTAAAGCAAATTTACAAGAGTCGACTATATTGGCAAATTTGTTGCACAGATTTGCAGCAAACTTTCATTTTAGTTGGAAGTCCTTATTGATCCGAAGCAGTTCGTTCGTATATTAACCAATCAAATGAGGTGTCAACTCTGCTGACGTTAAAGGATCACTATATGCACCCAGACCACTTCAGTTTAATGAAGTGGTCTGGGTGCCAGGTCCATCTAGGATTAACCCTTTCTGCTGTAAACATAGCAGTTTCAGAGAAACTGCTATGTTTACATATGGGTTAATCCAGCCTCTAGTGGCTCTCACTGACAGCCGCTAGAGGCGCTTCTGCGCTTCTCACTGATTTTCACAGTGAGAAGATGCCAGCGTCCATAAAAAAGCATTGATAATGCTTTCCTATGGACTGGCTGCGCGCCTGGCTCTTGCCGCGCATGCGCATTCAGCCAATGACTGGAAAGGAGGAGGAGATTCCCCAGCGCCAAAAAAAGGTAAGGGATTAACCCCTCCCTCACCCTAGAGCCCGGCGGGAGGGGGGGGCCTTGAGGGTGAGGGGGACCCAAGGACCCTATTGAGCCAGTATGTTTTCCTGACACTATAGTGGTCCTTTAACTTTATTGATCTTGGCTATTTAACTTGTTAAAACCATTTGGCAGCTCTTACTCTGCAGTTTGATGTTAAAGGGACAGTTAAGGCACCATAACTTCATTGAAATTAAGTTGTTATGATGGCAGGAGGCTGGCTCAACTTAAGGGGTTAAACCATTCTCGAACGGTATAACCTCAAAGTCTGCGTTCCAGCACCAAATCTTTCTGCCTCTCTGCCCTTCCATTAAAATTCTCTTAAACTGAAGGCTCTTGCTGAATTGGGCAGCAGTGCTGGGGATTGGCTGAGAATAGTCAGCTGACACTCTCAACCAATTGGTGAATTCCCATATTCATTATACTGGTTTTAAAAGGGTTCTTTCTTTTCAAGCCACTTTTCTGAATGGGGATTTCAGCTCTGCCAATCAGTGGCGCCAGAACGGTAGAGAGGCAGGAAGATTTGGCGTTTGAACGCAGGCTTTGGGGTTATACTGCTTGAGAGTGGTTTAAACCCTTAAGGTGAGTCAGCACCAGGGACCTCCTGGCACCATAACTTAATTTCAATGAAGTTGTTATGGTGCTCTAAGTGTTCATTTTAAGTTTATGAAATGATTAGATCCCCGTCTAAATGATTGCATATAAAATTAAAACCCTTGGATATTCAATACATCTCTTTGAAGTACATTTTCCACAAACTTCCCTGGTTCGCGGACACATTTGGTCACACCAGTCTATAGATACGTATAGTAAACAGACCTCTATAGGCCTCACTCACCCCAACATTTATTTCTATTTAAGTGGACATTGGCATAACCAGAGTTCATGGGTAATTGTAGCTTATGCTAACATATTGTACCTATAATCTTAATTTTAATAATGACAGGAGGCGAGTATTTTACATAACTTTCTTTACTTTATGCCTCCAGCAGCACAAGTCAATCAATAAACTTTAAACCAATCAGTAACAGGCATCACATCCATATATAAAGCCCTGACAGACACATGACTTCCTCTTTCTTTGATACGAAAAACAGTCTATTAGAACGTCAGGGAATTCAAATAACAGTCCTGAGTAACGTGTAGCACATAACTTGAAACGAAACTTGAAACCTTCCAGCTTTATCTTGTCGAATCCATCTATGACGATTACTCTGAAAAGAACAGAAATACGTGAAAGGTGATGGAAACCAACTGTTGTCCACATTAAATCCAGTACTATACGTATGTATATTTATATTAAGTTAATATACTGAAACATTAAACAACCATAGTATACTTAATAATCAACACGGATCTAACACATGTCAACCAAATAAGCATCCCATAAATATACTGAATTATCAAAACCTTATCATTTACACTGAGAAAATGACAAAGCAGAATATAAAAAATTTCCAGAGTACAGGGAGGGAAAATACTCGCCTCCTGTCATTATTAAAATTAAGATTATAGATACACTACGTTAGCATAATCTACAATGTTAGGCTTCATATTTTGCATTTTTAAAGCTGTGGTATGAGCGAGAAGGATGCGTGTGTGGTTGACGAAAATAAATATACGTAAGTAGTCTATCCGTGTCCAATTCATCGCTGTAAAATAGAGGCCCCCTCGTGAAGGCCTGAGAAGCAACCGCGCCTCTTACCGAATGAGTACCCAAACACATCTCCACCCTCGCTAGCGATAACAACCAATGAACCCATCTAGACAGTGTTCATGGTAACTGGCTTGTATGGTTGGTATAAGACCAGCAGATGTCCTGAATGTGACATTCTAAGTGTTGTCGTGATCTCCATGTAACAAAGTACCGCTTTAACTGCACAAAGACTGGGAAACAGTCAGTAGCAGGGAACGATACGGACGCGGATAAGATATAGTTCTACGAGACACTGTAGAAATCATTCCTTCCGGTGATACCGAAAAGACAGTGTATGTCGAACTCCAGTACATCTGATACCCGACGAAAAGACCTAAAAGTAACGTGACTCTGGCTAACGGCTGACAGAGGAATAGGACCGTGATATCTGACTAGCTCCAAAAGAACCAAATCAAAGTCCCGCACCAGTGATACTTTGATGCATGGTTCTGGGTAGTTTGATACCCCGCAGAAAGCGGCATATCAAAGGCTCCTGATCGGCCGGAGTGTCGTGAATCGCGCTGTGCGTCGTCAAAATAGCGGAACGTAGCTCATTAATGGAACTTTCCGATCAGCCCGTAGTGAAAAGGTATGATAAAGATCCAGCATCGAGAAGATAGGGGTAATAAAGGGATCACAGTCCCTTCCCATACACCAGCGAACTCCAGATGTTCCATGCGGATAAGTTATTTTGGGGAATACCTGGTGTTCATGATTCCCATAATAGGTCTCTAGTTGGTTGCGATAATCCCTTGGCATACCAGTCTCCCCTGAAAGACACCAATCTACCAACTCCAGATGCTCCTGCATTATCAATGGATGATCTCCTTTTGGAAACGTCCGAAGGCAAGTTAAAACTGAAGGAGCAGAGAATGATCCCGATTAAGGACAACCCTTCTGGGTGTCACGCTTGACTCCTTTTCCACGGTAATGAGTACTATCGAAGTCCTCGCTATTCTGATCCCAATTTCATAGGTGTGTCCGGATCTCAGGCAGTGAGCTTTCAGCCGCTGTCTGGCCCGGTAGTGAAGCGGTCCTCGGAAATAGTCAAAGGGTTATGGTGCCTTTCCACCGTACCCGTCGAATTTCCTTACGAATCGTCGCTATCAATGATGTGAAAAGGTGTAATCCGCCCAAGGTGGAATCTATTCCGAAGAAGAGGAACTGAATCACTCGGAACTGGGATCGAACCGACTCCTCTCTGTTCACTATGAATTCCAACAATTCCCGAAACTGTAAACATAAATCTCGTTTGTAAACGTAGTCATGAATTGGATTTGCAAAAGGTAAGTCGTCTAGGTATGCGTGACAGACTTCAGAAACTTCATGAGGCACCATGTGAACCTGTAGGTAAGTGCCCTTCAAGTCCAACTTTGTAGATCCCCCTAAGAGATGGATACCTTCCTTCTTGAGTTGTCGGTACGCCCCAAAACCTTTGGGTTGGCGTAGGTTGATGACTGGGCGATAGTCTTTCTTCCTTACTACCAAACCGTTGCTGAGATAAATGGTTCTCCAAACGATAGTCCGTCCGCCTGAGGTCCTCGCTCTTTCGTCCCTAACTTCAATAGTTTGAAATCCATCTTTAATCGGGCTGCTTTGCGCCGTTCTGTGTACCTGTCTGCATTGCGTTCCCCAACCTACATATTGCCCTTTGCACCCATTCCCACACATCGTGAGCTTCTAGAGGGGAGTCTTGGGTGGGGTCAGGTCCGCAAAGTATAGAATTTTTTCCCGAGCTGATCATATCCAGTATTTCATCTTAACTCGTTTTGAGTCGTCCTCCTCCACCTTTACATGGACCCCGGCCTGATCGGGACATACATATCACCACGAGCTCCATGGTGAGGACTATCTTGTTCGGACAGAGAGGGCGTGGGCATTCCATCCTGAGCTTATCTCGGATTTCTTTTCCCATAGGCCTCCTGAGCCAGAAGTGGGCAAAGTGTGCCCGGTGCTCCGGTTAACCCCATTCGGATGACCCTGGGTGTCGGATGGTGCGTGAGTCAAAACAGGAGTGTCCAGTGTGCCAAGGAAAACCCTTTCTTGCTAGGCGGGTCTTGTCACTTTTACCTCTTCAGATGAGACTCTTCTGCCCTCCATTCTTTCATGATCTCCTGAGAAGGGGGGGGATGAAGTCCTTGTCCCCTGATGATGGGTGTCCGACCTAACGTCGGTATCTCAATCTTCCATTGGTGTTGGTGCCGTTGCACCCGCTCTGTCGGATGGGTTGTTAGCCAGCATACTGGCGAGGACTTCTTCCCCCGCAGCTGCCATGGCGGTCTTAATCCTCGCCTGAAAATCGGTCAGGGATATTGAGGGAAGTCCGACATGTTGGTTCACACCCTTTCGGTCTGTGGGAGACAACAGTACACTTATTGCCACTCAGTGGGCCTCTGCGTATAACTGGGGGTCACCCAGAATTTTGATCAATCGGTATCACTTTCGCAGGATCCGGGGAGTGGTCTGAGAATGAGGACACACTCAGTAAGACCGGGATGAGTGGTCTGCAATGTCGGGACGTAGCCAGAGTCTGGGAGACGGGAAAGCCTCAATATGTATAGTCCACGGGGTTCATCCTCATATGGTCTAGAATTGTGGAGTTTTGGCAGCACTGTGAGTTCTCCTTCTCGGTTAAGGGAAGGGCGTACGGAACCCCAGTTGAAACATAGAGGTGTCGGAATACATGCATCTAGTGCGCCCTAGTCTGTGAATACAATGACAGAGCGTACTCTGAAGGTAGAAACCCTAGAAAGGGCGCGGGGGGTCACCCCATCCGGCAGGGGGGTCACCCCTTTGTACCTATGCCACTAGCACCGGAGTAAGACTCGCTTGGGGGTCCCACAACGTTGGGGGGTCACCCTTGTATGAATGTCTTTTATGGCATGTTGGGACACACTTTCGGTCTATGGGGTACCGAACAGGTGTCAGGTACAGTAGTACACTTATTGCCACTTAGTGGGCCTCCACGTACGACTGGGGGTCACCCAGAATTGTTTCAATCAGTATCACTTAGAGATTTCCTGGGAGTGGTCTGAGGAGGGGGTCACCCTCAATATGAGCGGTCAGTAATGTCGGGACGTAGCCCGTGTATGGGGAGGTATGGTAGCCTCCAAATTATCCAAGGGGTCACCCTTATAGGATATAGTACTGTGGAGAATTGGCAGCACCGTGAGCTCTCCTTCCTGGCTCTGTCGATATGTATCCAGTGTAACCCGGTCTGTGCATACAGTAACAGATCGTACTCCGTGAATATGAGCCCGTCCTAGGGCGTGGGGATCCCACCAGTATGTTTGTCACTAGTACCGGAATAATATTCGCTTGGGGTTCACCCAGCGTAGGGGGACCACCCCAGTATATGTATGTAACTAGGACAGGAACCAGATTCGCTTGGGGGTCACCCAGCATAAGGGGGGGTCACCCCTGTACCACACTGTCACTTGGAGAGGTGTCTGCCACGCTTGCGGGGTCTCCCAGCATAAAGGGGGGGGTCACCCCTGTTAATCACTCCATTATGTGCCTCCACTACTGTGTCCAGGGAGGTGTATCCCTGTGGTGGAGTGTATCCAATGGTTGTGAGGTCCAGTGGGAGAAGGGAGCTGAGTAAGTTATCAGCTCTATTTAATTTCCCTTCCAGCAGATAGAGTAATGCATCCACTATATGCCCACAGCAGGGGACAGTCCATTCCTAATCCTCCAGATGTACAATAAAACTGTTGTTCAACATGTCAATTGTATAGAACAGAATAGAGCAAACTGCCAGCAGACATGAGTACTGCATCCACTATGTGCACACAGCAGGGATCAGTCCTACATATTCATGCAGAGTTACATATAAAACTTTTATTTCACATGCCAATGAAATATAACAGTATAGAGCTCAGCAGTGAACAGTCCATTTATAATCTTCCAGAAAAGGTACAAATTAAACCTTTATTCCACATGCCTATGATATGTAACAGTATTGAGCTCAAAAGTACTTGTAAAACTTGTATTTCACACGAAAAATATATGAAAGTACCGAACTAGCTGCCAGTTCGTGGGAATCATGAACTGGCCAAACGACATGGCCGACGTGAGTCTCGCGAGTGCCGCGAGATTAAAGATGGCCGCCGTTCGCGCGCAAAAAGTTGCGAGCGGCCCGCGATCGAGGATACCATGGAATAGTCCCCCAGAGACCTGCCCTGAAGTCCCAGCACCAATGATAAAGCGTGTCCGTGGTAAAATGCCGTGATCGCAGAGACCAGAGTAAAGCATAGGAAAGAAAAGGTACCAGCAACAGAAAACAGGCTAATAAAGCAGAAAATACAGGGTTAATTCGGGGGAAGAGTAACGGGGAGAATATCACACTATACAAGTCCAAATGGAAGGCAAGTGCAAAATAATGAAAAACATTTAGGCCAAAATTGCAGGACGAGCTAATAAAGTTTAACAAAAGTGGCCCTGCATATCCAGAAACAGTTTGGAGCAAAAACTGAATGTCTAGCATTAAAAATCTAACTAAAGTTACCATAGCAATATTAATAAAAACAGTTGGAGCAAACTGAAAGTCAAGATATAAAGTTTAATTAAAGAGACCATTGCAATATCCAGAAAACCAGTTAGGATTAAAACTGAATGTCTAGCATAAGGTGTCTAACTACAGTGACCATAGCAATATTAATAAAAACAGTTTGGAGCAAACTGAAAGTTAAGCAATAAATGATTAGCTAATGACAATTGCAATATCAGAAACAGTTTGGAGCAAAATATTCTCACCTGTGCCTTGGCTGGTAAGCAGCAAAGAAAGAGGAAGTCATGCGTCTGTCAGGGCTTTATATATGGATGTGATGCCTGTTACTGATTGGTTTAAAGTTTGATTGACTTGTGCTGCTGGAGGCATAAAGTTAAGAAAGTTATGCAAAATATGAAGCCTCCTGTCATGTGCTAAAATTGGGAACAAAACATCTCTACCCTGCTGCTTCTCAGATTAGTAGAAACCAAGGCATACATTTCTGAGTTTCTTCTAGTTCTTCTATAGTGGAACTGTGTGGCATGTAGAGTAGATTCAGTGTGGCCCTCCAGGTTGTGTTACTTGTACTGTAGGTTTAAGTGACTTCTGATAAGTGTTCAATATGTGTTTTATTTCTTACAGATTCAATGGTTCTGGAGAGCACTGCGTTCTTTTGATCAGGCTGACAGAGCTAAGTTCCTTCAGTTTGTGACTGGAACGTCTAAGGTTCCTCTACAGGGCTTTGCAGCTCTAGAAGGAATGAACGGCATCCAGAAATTCCAAATACACAGGGACGATCGATCCACAGACAGGCTGCCTTCTGCACACACATGGTAAGAATCCGAATAAGAGATTGACTTTTAGGTATCCTATAAATGTTTGCTTTAAGGTGCCATGTGCACTAGTACTACCAAAATATTTAAAGGTTGTCTGGGTGCAGTGTCCCTGTCCTTTTAATCCTGCAATGTAAAACATTGCAGGTTTTTAGAAACTGCAATATTTAAAAAGCAGGTGTCAGTCCACCTTTAGTGGCTCAGTATAACAGTCAGTGCAGCTAAAGCACCTCTACTGGCTGTCATGTGACGCAGAAGTGCCTACAGGAAAGCATTAGCTCAAGGAGATGTTTGTGTCCGTGACTTTTGGCGACCATAATTAAATCTCTATATAATGAGCTCGATAACGTTTGGTAACTTGTAACTCATTGCAGGTTTAAAACGGATTTGTCATTTTCATTCTCTTTGCATGTTATATATTTTAACATTTGAGTTTAAGAAAATTGAGTCTGTGTGCTATCCTATTAAACCAATTTTTTTGCTGTTTAGTTTCAACCAGTTGGACCTTCCAGCCTACGAGAGCTACGAAAAGCTACGTCACATGCTGCTTTTGGCCATCCAGGAGTGCTCTGAGGGGTTTGGCCTAGCCTAGGAAGGTCTTCCTGTGTTTTTTTTTTTTCTACTGTTGGACTTTAGTGAGAGATTAAGAAAAATAAAGCCATGCATCGATCTCGCTCACCCTGCTGGCGCCAAGAAGAGGGACTTGCCTTCTGAAGTTGCCGTCTGTTTCACTTCCCTTCTGATGGTGAAGTGTCTGTGCTGAGACTTGAAAAACACTGCTCGGAGGGACATGGAGAACAGAGAGGAGCAGGGGGAAAAATTATATATAAATATATAAATATATATTTTTTTCTGTTTTGCTTTTCTTCAGTTTTGCTTAAGGATGAGTTATGATGCTCAACTTTTCCAAAAGAAAAGCTCCGACCGCAGGGTTAAAGAGGCTGGTGAAGTTAAATGGTAAAAAAAAAAAAAAAAATTTGAAAAAAGGCGAACTGATTAAAGGTCTGAAAACTAGAGCACTCTTGTTAAGAAATAGCCACTACTCCCGACGCTATTTTTTTTTTTTTCTCCGCTTCAAATAAATTACTGAGGTGTTTACCTGTAAATAAACCACTGAATGGAAAATAACCCTATTGATACATTTTTTTTTTTTTTTTTTTATATTTAATTTTATGCCCCTCTCTGTTGGTGCTTGGAATGTTGGGATGGGGTGAGCAGTTGTAGTAGAGCCAAATCCAGGAGGGAGTTGGCATTTTTGCAGTTCTGGGAACATACATCTAGTAAGCTAAGCTGCCTATTGGAGGAGGTAGGGGGGAAATAAATTAAAATAAAAAATAAAAAAACTTCCATCTTCCTGGAATCTACTTTGTGTGAAGTTAAAAGGATAAGGAGAAAAGTTATGCTGTTTTCCTATTTTGTTTTTCTAGTTTTGTTTTTTTTTTTTTTTCTTATTTTAGTGGTTTTTTTTTTTCATTTCCAGGTAGAATAATTTACATAGAAATGAAAAAGTAAACTGGAAAACAATTCAGCTAAGGTTAATTTTGTTTGGATTTTTTTCCTCCCCGCAATACCCTTATATTTATTCTTTATCCTTAATGATTTAATGTTTGGACTGCTAGGATTTTCTGATTTTGGATTTTTTTTTTTACATTTCTCAAATCAAAATAAAAAAGATGAAGAAAAAATACACAAAGGGTTTCTCTGCAAGTTTTCAGACTTTGAGGAGAGCTTGTGGCTGAAGTTGTTGTGTGCTGTGATTTTTGGAGGGAGGTCTGAGGTGTAGTAGTAGATCCGGACGAAGTTATTGGCGTTTTTCTGCCAGATCTTATTCTTCGCCTGCCAGTCTTGGTTCACATCCCACATGCTGTGCACGAAATAGGGATTAAGCACTTCTGTCAACTAGACCATTCGGGAGTTAATGCAAGTGGTTAAATAAAGGTTTAGTTTGAAAGCCAATGAGTTATGGATTCTTTGTCGGAATAAAAAAACATTGTACCTTTTAAAATACACCCTGTTTATTATTGTGCCATAATTTCATATCAGACCAAGCCCTGTAAGCATGAAACTGCAAATATGCCCAAATTACTTATTACAATATTTGTATACAAATATGGAAGGTTATTTTCAAATCTGGAAATAATTTGTCACTCATCGGCCAAATACACATCATGCCCTCCCTCTCACTGGCCAGTTTGTACATTCCTGAAATACATGTAAAAAATTAAAGTCTAATAGAGAAGTTCACTCAAAGATCTTAATAAAGAAAATCATACCGTCTCTCAGAGCTTGCAACAGGGGGTTACTGCAGACATATGCACCATCAGCGCACAATTTCTTATGTTTAGAAGAGAGAATTGCAACCATAAAGCAGTATGATTGGAGAAATACAAAATGTATAAATTTCAGCAGTACTTGTGGAGCCTTTAGTCATTCACCGTGAATTGGGCTTTGTCTCCCCCCTTTCCTTAAATTGAAAGAGCTTTGGGATTGTATTTCTTTTGTAATTTTAAAAGCCATTTCTTAGTCTAGTGTACTTAGTCTGTGAACTGGAGGAAATATTGAATTTGAACTAGCAACAGTGCTCTCAAATTCAATTCTGTGCATTCATTTTCTGAGAAATAGAAGCTTATGTGCATTAGTAGTGTGTGTGAACATTTTTAGGAATTAATGTACTGTGGATGCATAATTCCATATACAGTAGATACAGATACTACAATCATCTGCATTGTACAGTCCTCTGAGGATCCTTTTTACAGTTGTTTTGCAGAGATGCATTTGGGCAAAATGGATCTTCGGTGACTTCTGGCAGGTAGATTTGTTACTGTACAGGGTGACATTCTGGGCTGGAGCACAAGGTTAAGGTAAGAGTGGGTTGCATTTTACTTTACATTGTTTTAAAATGTTGCTAGTAAATACATCAAGATGGGAGGGAAAGTGTTGAAAATGGCAAGTGTCTGATATAGTTTACCATATAAGGAAAATTAAATTTCATTCCTACCTGGTTTCTTTTATTTTCATGGCTATTTATCATGGTAGCATCACGTATGGGTAGCTCCACCCTAAAGCCAGATCAGGACAGGAATTAACCAATAAAAAAAAAAAGCCAGACTGAATGCATGAAGATCCCTTCTCCTTAAACAAAATTTTTGTTTTAACCCCTTAGTGACCAGACCGCTTTTCAATTTTCTTACCGTTTGGGAACAGAGCTCCCTTTACATTTCTGCGGTGTTTGTGTTTAGCTGTAATTTTCCTCTTACTCGTTTACTGTACCCACACATTATATATAGCTTTTCTCGCCATTAAATGGTCTTTCTAAAGATACCATTGTTTTCATCATGTCATAATTTACTATAAAAAAAAGTTTTTTTTCAAAGAAACAGCAAAGTGGGGGGTGGGCGGGGATGAGGGTACAGAAGGAAATTGTGGGGGGTGGGGGGAGGATTCAGCAGATACATATTTGACATCTCTTACAGCATATAAATGTCCATCTAGTTTACACAGAGTATCAATGCATGACCTTAATCTCGGACCATTTGGCAACCCCACCCTTTCTACCTTCCCGTGGGTATAGTTACAGTAGGGTCACTCTGACTTGCAGAGTGTGCCAATCTCCACGTGTCCCAAGCTTCCCATGCCGTCTGGGATATTCTAGATTAAGGCCACAGCCTGCGGAAGCAATGCTCGTATGTGCGCCGTTCATCAATGTCTGTTATTAGAGTGGACATGGAGGGGCACCGTGAGGACTTCCATGCTCCAGCTATCAATCTTTGGGCTGCTAATAGGACATGGCTTCTGCTTAAATTGAGGGAAGTCATCCTGGAGGAGCATGGTTAGGTACGTAGTTGGGTGAAGGGGCAACATGCTTTTTGCCAAAATGTTTGGAGAACTGAACATTGCCACCAGATGTGGAGCACTGTCCCATCTTTTACATTACATCTCCAGCACTTTGAGCTATCTGGGAAGATCTTGTGGATGCGTGTCGGAGCCATATACCATCTATAGATTACTTTTCGCTGCTGTTCCAGTAGAGTAGCAGACTTGACTAGAGTTTTAGTCGTGGTGAACAAATGACCCCATCGCTGTTGGGATATTTCCGTTCCCAAGTCTACGTTTTAGTGCTGCGCAGGTGTAGATTTGGAGAATGGGAGGAAGTCTAGTAGTAACTTGTAACACATGGAGATAGGCTTACATAATGGTGGTAATTTTTTCTTACTACAGATCTGTTCCCATACAGTAAGTGTGTGCCCAGTGTTGTGTAAAGAGGGAGCTGGCAGCTGCACTCGGGTTAAAAAGGATTTCAGTTGTAGGTAGGAAAACTGTGAGGTGCTTGGCAGTCAGTGGTTTTCTTGTAAGATCTGGAAGTCTAATACTTTCCCTCTTGCGCGTGTGTGGTATAGGTGTGTCAATTTATTATCCTACCAAGGTCTATCATGGAAGGTGGGGATACAGTATGGGAGAGCTCAGATAGGGGTAGCTAGGGAGGGGGGGCTCGAGCTCAGTGTAAAGACCTGTGGGTATCCCAAACTTGGATGCTTAAGGTTATCTTAGGTGGCGCTGACAGTAAGTGCGCTATCATTGGTGCTTGAAGCACCTTCATGGCCACTCTAGGTCTGGAGCCTGCCCTGATGAAGTAAAACATATCCTTATGTACATTTTTAAAATAAACCTGGGGAAGCGGTAGGGGGAGTGTACGGAAGATATACTGTAGTCTGGGTAAAATAGACATTTTGAATGCCACTATCCGTTCCATCCAGGTCCGGTACAGTGGACACCACCGTTGGAGAAGGAGTATGCATTCGTTCTATGTAGTTCCCAATGTACAATTCAGCTGCATTTTTGGTGAAAAGCAACCCTAGGTACTTAATGTCGTCCCTCCGCCACTCAAAGGGGTATTGTGTACGAAGGGCCTCTGTTAGACTTCGGTAACCCTATAGTTAAAGCTTGGGTCTTGGAGGTATTGAGGGAGTAGTATGAGTGTAGGCCATATTCGCTAATGAGGTCCATGAGTGGTGGTAAGGAGGTTGGGAGATGTAGAGATGTATGTCATCTGCAAATGCACTTATCTTGGTTACCCGACCACAAACCTCTATGCCATGTATGTCCAGGTGGTCCCTGACAGCGCTTAGGAGGGGCTCTAGAGCTAAGTCATATAACAATGAGGAGAGGGGGCACCCCTTGCCTAGTTCCATTAGTGATCTTAAAGGGGTGGGACAGAAAGCCCGCTTGCATTACTTGAGCCGTTGGGGCTGAGTAAAGGGCAAAAATTTGTGTAATGACCTGTGGGGGAATTCCATATTTGCTTAGTGTGTGCTTCAGGAAGGACCAGCCGAGGCGGTCGAACGCTTTCTCTGCGTCCAGAGCTAGGAGCAGTCCACCTCCGCTGGCCCTTCAGAGCCACTCAAGAACTAGGGAGAGTTTGCACGTATTATCAGATCCCTGCTTCCCTTGGACAAACCCTGTTTGGTCGTCAGTTATCAAGGTCAGTAGGATTAGCTAGAATTTTTGCATACATTTTCGTGTCCGTGTTTTGGAGGGAGATGGGGCGGACGTTTTTGCTCTTATCAGTAGGTTTATCTGGCTTGGGGATAGTAACTATTGTGGCTAGTAACATCTCTGGCGGGAGTGAGACGGTTTTAGTGGCCTCTAGGTAGACCCTGCGGAGGTGAGGTGCTAAGTCCTGTGCGTATGTTTTATAATAGTTGTTGGTGAACCTGTCAGCTCCCGGGGATTTGCCCGGTGGTAGATTCTTAATGGCCGACATGACCTCTGCAATGGTTATAGGTGGTAGCAGCTGCTCAGTTTGAGCTTGGGATACTTGAGGAAGATAGCGAACAGGTATCGGGAGATACCAGTGTCATTTGGGTGGAGTACCAGTTTACTCAGATGTAGATTGTAGAGGTTCGAATAGAATTTTGCAAACTCTTGGCTGTCTTCAGAGTTTCTTTTTCTTACACTTGTCATCGATGATGTGGGATAGTTTAATTGTGGAGTACTTATTTCGGAGCCTAGAGGCCAGGTATTTTGTCGCTTTTCTGCTATTATGATTCGTGCTGTCTCAGTTTTTGTACTTGCTATTTAGTCTTTTCTGTGTTTATTTCCGCTAGTCGGTCATATAATTGAATCAGCTTAGCTGCCAGTTCCTTTGTGGGTTGTGTTTTGTTTAGGGAGGCTGTAAGGGCAATTTGCTTTTGGAATTCTAGTGCGCTAGCATTTTGGCGTTTTTTGAGAAAGGAGGAGTGACTTATAAATAGGCCTCTGATGACCACCTTATGTGGGGACCATGTTGTAAAATCTGACACTTCTGTATCAGTGTTAGTTTTAAAATATTCCTGAATTTCTCCACGGGTAGTAGCCGTGAAATCAGGGTCTGAGAGTAAGGAGTCGATAAGACGCCACACAAACTGTAAAGTTCAGGTTCGTACTGAACATTAAGATTTTTGGCCCCCGAACACTGACATATTCGGCGATTTAATGACGCGTTTTGAAAAGCTGCAGGGCAGCCAATCAACAAGCGTTTGACTGATGTGCCCTTAGAAACCATCACAGCCATGCCTACTAATGGCATGGCTGTGATTGGCCAGTGCAGCATGTGACCCGGCCTCTATATAAGCTGGTTACTTAATACCATTAACTTATACCCCTACTCGTCCATGTCTGTGGCTGCTCACTTTTTTAAAAAACAAACACATTCCCCCCTCCTGAGCCCCCACCCATGACAAGCGAGTGGGGGCTTTTAAACTAAAGGGGGACCTATTCCCCTTCACACACCCTGAGCGATGGGTGGGGGCCATAAATAAAGATGGGGGGACCTAATGTCCTCCCCCATGGCCCCCACCCCCATTTTACTTCCTTTTGCAGCCCTCCAGCCCTTTCTAAGACTTCTTTTAGAGCCATTTTTGTGCCCAAAAGTTCGGGTCCCCATTGACTTCAATGGGGTTCGGGGTCAAGTTCGATCCCAAACCCAGACTTTTTTTCAAAGTTCAGCCGAACCCACCGGACTTAAACATCCGGACCTAAACATCCAGGTGTCTGCTCAACTCTAGTGGGGTAGTGTTTGGTGAATAGGGCTGGAGTATGTCCCCTTTTAACCCCTTAAGGACACATGACATGTCATGATTCCCTTTTATTCCTGAAGTTTGGTCCTTAAGGGGTTAAAGTGAGTTTCTTGTATACATGCGATGTCTGGGTGTTTTCTATTTTTTTTTTTTTTTTTGTGAAGTCTTTAAGTAAAAGTCTCCTTTTACCCGGGGTATTCAAACCTTTAACATTTATAAGGAACAATTTTCATGCTTAAGTTGGTAGGTTAAGTGGGATCCTGCGGAAGCAATATATCATTAAAAAAATCTGTTACATGTGATTCAACCTGGGTCAGGGAACAGAGGCAATGAGGGACACACAAAATCCTTTGTAGGGTTCGGGGGAGATGTGTCTGTGGTACGCTCGGAAATGTACTGCATCCAGGCCCTTGGGAGTCAGGGGTCAGTACCACACCTGTCAGGTGCTGGGGCTGCGGGTCGACAATAGTTCTGCTAGTGAGAAGGGGAGGTGGGGGAGAGAAGGGTAGGGTAGGAGAGGGGTCAGAGCATACATGGGCGTGAAAGAAGTGCACCTGGACAATCACATCTCTAGCAGCAGTGCTGGGTAGGTGTCAGTGGTGTATCCTGGTTTTGTGCTGCCCTAGGCAGGACAAAACTCAGGCGCCCCCCCGCGCGCCAGCCCCACCCAACCCTCCCCCCCCACCACGCCTTCTAAATACACACACACACATTCACTGACAGATACGCATACACACGCTAACAGACACACACACTAACAGACACAAACTGTCAGACACACACACAC